GCCTCTCCTTTAACCATCATACAAGAAGAAGCAGAGTCCTCTTCCAACTCATCCAATGGAAGCAACAGCTCTGCTCTCCCTCTCTCTGTTCTAATTCCCAGAATAACTAAGCAAGGAGAGCAGGTGACTCCTTCATCCCCAGTAGCGAACTCACTCCAGATAACTCCACTAGAAGAAGAGCAGGAGACTCAACAAGGAGAGCAGATGGCTCCTCCAGAGACAGAACAGCCAACTCAACACAACAAGCAAATGGCTCCACCTTCACCAACAGACCACTCACCAACTCCTCTGCAAAAATTAGAGGCTGAATGGGCTAGAGTCAAAGCTTGGAGAGAATGGAAGCTCTCCAAAATTCTCCACCAAGCCAGGACCCTAACAAAATTCATCAGTGAAGAGTACTTTGCTCTCACCTGGCTTGGAACTGAAGACATAGCCAAAGCCACAAATCTTCACCAAATGAATCTGGTCTATCTCACAAAGAAGAGGCAGCTAACTGATGACTCACCAGAGGAGCACTCCGAGGATAAAAATGATGATGGTGATTCTGATGATGATGATGACAACCACTCTGGTCCAAATAACCCTCCACAGAATAGAGGTAAGCAAATCATCTCTTCTTCCTCTTCTAGTGATAAAGAACTTCAAATGGCTCTGGAAAAATCTAAATTTGAGACTAGAGGAGGTGGAGAAACCTCCAAAAAAATGGAGGAAGTAGCTCATCAGCCCACTGCTGATCAAGAGCAGACGTCTAGTTCACACTCTCAAGAGTCTACTCAAAACATAGAGCAGCACTCTCACACATTCATTCTTGAACCTGAGGACAATGAAGAGGACACTGCTACCCTGGCCGATGTCTTCATCAAAGAAAGAAGGGCTACCACACAGTTCATCAGCCGCGCAGAGGTCAGACTACACAAGAGACTCATCAAAATGAAGAAGCAACTAGAAGAAAGGCTAGATATCAGATTTGGAGGAGTCCACAGCCACATCAGAAGAGATTCAATGATCCAACAAGTGTTCAATGCTGAGCAGAGAGCTCTACTCCAAACCAAAAACTCTCAGCAGTCTGCTTTGACCAATGAAATAAAGCAGGAGATTGCTGCACTAAAAGCCAAGAATGAGGACCTCGAAAGACAAATGCTAGCACTTCAAAAGCAGCAACAAGCTCAGCCTACTGCAGCAGGTACTTCTGAGCAGCTGCCTTCTCTCCCAACCTTACCTCCTCATCTTCAGCAGACTTTCCAAATGGTGAAGGAACATGAAGAGTATCTTGGAAAACTATGAAATGAAGAGTTCCCTGCCATGTTCAAACTCTCTCAAAAATTTCTCACTGAACAGCAGGCTCACGCTCAGGCCTATGAACAGCTCACTAGGGATATTGCTCACAACTTTCAAGTTCTTCATAAAGGCACTCAAGAAACTTTCTGGAAGCAAGGCAGTGACTTCCAGAAATTGGGACAAGACTTGGTGCAAACAAAACATAGACTTCAGAACTTGGAACATGAGGTCAAGGATGAGGTGAAAACAGATCTTCTGGACATCAACAACCACATCAAAGCACTGTCTATTGAAGTTTATGGTCTGAATCCATCCAGAAGACAACATGAAGATCCTGACTCTGACCCAGAAATAGAAGCACTCTTCAAAGAAAGTGAGACCCCTGCTGATGATGCCAAAAAGGGGGAAAGGACAACTCAAGTAGGTCCCTCTTCTTCCAGATCAGCAGCAGCAAGAAAAGCAGCTGCAACAAGAAGGAAGAACAAGCTCCTTCAAGAAGAAGCAGAGATCAGAAAAAGAAAAGCTGAAGAAACCAAGAAAAAGCTGGAAGAAATCAACAAAAGTAGACTTCAAGACAAGTCCGAAAGTGACTAAAAACTATTGTACTTTAGACTGTAGACCAATGTACAATATTCTCAATGAAAATCAATAAAAACAATTGTTTCTTGTGTTGTATAGTTTTGGCATCATCAAAAAGGGGGAAACTGTTAGTACCCAATTTTGATAGATTTTGATGATGCCACTATACTTTGCACCCGTACATTGTGTCTAAATTAAATTCAAATATTAGCATTAAAATGTGACAAAATAAATGTAAAATTTTTGGAACTAATAAAATTACACTGGAAAGTCAAAATGCAATAAGGTAAAAATTCTTTTACCTTAAAAGGATATTTAAATCCTACCAGTATAATTCTATTAGCACACAAAAATTAAATGTCACACAAACATATACATTGAATGTATATGATTGAAGACAAAACTTGACCGGCATTTAATACCGGATCAAGTACTGGGGCCGCGGCATGGGACGCACACATAATACAAGACAAAGTGATCAGCTGCAAATTAATGCTCCAGCACAAGAAGACAATTGTACTACTTATCCTTGCCAGAGATCTTCAACGAAAAGGATTAATTCATGTCAACCAACGGATGAGATTAATCAACCATGAAGGCCTATAAATATAGGTAGAAGCATGAGTTCGAAGATAAGCTTGAGCATCCTAAGTAGAGAAATACTTTCATCAAAGCATATACGAGCTATCTAGCAATAGAGAAAGTGCAAACTCAACTTTACTCTCTGCTTAGCCTCATGCTTCACTAAGCTCTTAGACTAGATCAACACTTTCATATTTTTAGAGCTTAGTTCATAGTTGGAGGTTAGAAATTTCTTGTATTAATCAAGTAGTTGTAAACACTCAGGAGAACAGTTGTTCGGATCCTAAAGTGTGGTAAGATAGATAGAGTACCTTTTGATCCCCACTGGATGGATTGAGAAAAGTCTAAGGACTGAGTAACTTTGAGTGGTGTTATACTCATTGTGAAAAACCTTCAATCTAGATCTAAGTGTTGTATAGGCTAGATTGGCACTAAGTGTATTGGACTTAATACTTTAGTGGAAATCCATCTGAAAGAGGGTGGGACTGGATGTAGGAGGATTACACCACCTCTGAACCAGGATACATCGTGTGTTGATTTCACTTCATTCAACAAAACACACACCCAGCACTTCTCGTATAAAGATTGTAGTTTGCCAGCAGCATCTTAAGCAGTTGTCTTAATTGACCCAACTGCTTATCCTTCTGCTTAATTACTCACTCTCTTTGAGGCTATCTCCACACAGCTCACTTGCTAAAGCATTACCAAAAAGGTTGTTCTATCAGTTCCTGGAAATTCACTTTCAAAATATAGCAGGTGCCTCAGCAGTCTCCTCAGTACCACCCAACTACTGAGCTCCCTGCTCACATACATATATTTCCTTTAAATAACTCAACATCACCAGATCCTCATAACATCATCACACGAAGTTTTGCTTAAAAGGATCTCTGAAAATCTGCTTATAACCTAAGCAGGTGGCTCAGCAGTTCCCTCTGTACCACCCAACTGCCAAGACCACTGCTCCAGTTAAACTTCACCTTAACCTTACTTAAGTACTTTTTCAGACATCTTTCTTGCGTTCTAAACAACGGTTCACCATCACTTTCATCATAAAGTCAATATTTCTCTAGTAGTTACCTCAGCAGTTTCCTGCTACCTAGTCAACTGCTAAGCTGACTGCCAAGCCAACTGCTAGCTATCTAAGTCCAATCTTCCCAAAATTAGAAAGTGGTCAAACACTCATTGCATAAAGGGTAAAGACTTCCGCTGTGCATCTACTGATCTCTCAAAAGATTATAGATCAACTTTTCTAAAGGGAAAACTTTGTAAAATTGAAAAGACTTAAAAGTCTATTCACCCCCCCCCCCCCCCCTCTAGACTTTTACCCTATTCGGGACCATCAAAAAAATATCACCGAGAACCGCCCCAAACGGCAGAGGCCGAACAGGGCTCTGGTCAGGAAATTCTGGATATGAATGATACTGTTTAGAACATTTTGATATGATATCTCCCAAGATAATCAGAGTCACGAGCATACAAATAACTGATGTGCGTGTTGATGATCATGGGAGGACCCAAGGGGATGTTATGGCGGTCAGCGGATCCCGCTGAAAGTTTGAGAGTATAAAGCTATGAAATATCTTCGATTTGATATATTATGGTCGTCGTAATTTATTACGAGTACAAAATTATGACTTCTGTCTGAAAAATCAACACTATCTAAATGTAAAATCATCAAAATTTGATGTGTAATATTGATTATTTTCCCAAGTTTTAAAAATAACGTATAAGTAACTCATTACTTACATGACATGAATCATAAACAGAGCAAAGATAATCCATCTTATTGTTACGAGCGCCTATATATCTAAACTACAAATGAAACATTCAACTCTGATATTGTATAAAAACGATCAACCCCCCCCCCCCCCCCCCCCCGAGTTGTTATTCTTGCTCCGCCCCTATTGATGATAAAGACATATCACAAGCAATTACATTAGAAAAAATCTCTTTGTACACATTGCACAAGAAATGTGTTTACACGTTTCTACACACGTCTATGAAGACAAATTTTCTCGGTGAACGTACATTGTGTTCAACATGTTTTGTCTATGAATAGTGTTTTCACAGACAAAAAATTACATTCATAGACGCATCTAAATACGCATAAACAATAACAAAGGAGGTAAGGGTCAGATTAGTACTCGAAGTTGCATAAAAAGAGTCAAATAAGTCCTTATATAGGAGTCTCTGTCCGGCCGTCGCCATTTGGGGCGGTTCCCAGTGGATTTTTTTGACGAAATTTTTTGAGCATCTTATTCATTAAGTCTAGTTTACTCATATCAAATTTCAGCTAAACATTCAATGAGGAAGACATTCAAATGAATTCTTGAAGATAATTGCGCAGTTAAAAGCGCAGTTATTTTCAAGAATTCATTTGAATGCCTTCCCGATTGAAGTTTTAGCTGAAATTTGGTATGAGTAAACTAGACTTGATGAAAAATATTCTCAAAAAAATTCATCAAAAAATTCCACCGGGAACGGCCTCAAATGACGACGGCCAGAAAATAAGGACTTATTTGACACTTTTTATGCAACTTCAAGTACTAATCTGACTCTTAGCTCAATAACAAAGTGTAAACAATAACAAAGTGTACAAGAAGAATTGCTCATTACATTAAGGCACAACAATGTGTAGATGGGCACGGACACTAAGTAAAATGTGATATAAGACTAATTTACGTCCCTCGATCAAACTTTCTACTAATTTCACAACACCCTATCGTTTTTTTTTTGTTAGGTAAATTTAGAGTTGCAGCATAAATAAAGGAAAGGAAGCGTGGGAGGTGGTTCAGCAGCTAATGACCCTAAAGTACTAGAAAGCTATTGAAGAAGACAAAGGATTACAGCCAAATTCCGTGTTCGATCTCATCATCATTATATCTGACAAAAGATATATGGTCACTTTTTGGAGGATTGCTTAGATGAAGACTTTTTTTTGGGAATACATTTCCCAGCGTTTTGCTTTGCCTCCTTCTCCGCACCTACTTCTTCTAGCCCTGGCCTGCACTTCCTGACCATTGTTCACAACCAAGCTACGTCAAAACGATGCCAATGTATCTTTACATTTTCTTTTTTCTATTTATTCATACGACGAAGATAATAATGACAAATAAAAATACCCCATAGACTTTTAGGGCATTTTCACATCACATAAAACTACACCAAATCACATCAAATTCAAACATATTCAATCACATTAGTTCAAATTAAATTAGACTAAACTAACATGACAATAAGATACATGCACATAATAATACTTTACCATATCATATTTTTCTTTTGAAGAAAAAACAACTTTATTAAAAAAGTTGAAGGTAAAGTACATCCAGAAAACAATTTTATTTGGAAATATTTGTGTGGTTCTAATTCATTCTTACGTTATTCATTATTAATCACATAACTCTACTTTTCTTAAAAACAACACTACTCTCCTGTGTCCCAATCATGGGGGGACGAAGGTAGTAATACATATAATAACAATTCATATCATATTTAGATAGAATAGATCAAATCGAACTACAAGAATAGAATAGCACAAACCTAGAAAACATCTTTAATACTTTGATCATGGTAGCTTAGTCACTTTAGTGACACTACATGAATTTTAGACTACACCAATGTGGACGGTATATGCTTCATAACCATAGTCATACTTTCATCTGTAAGTGCTATTTAAGTCATGTAGCCTCTCCCTAAATCATTGTCACACTTTTAATTTTACATATTTTAAAAAGTAAGTGCCTCGATTCCTTTTTGAGGAGAAATATATTCAAAATCAACCATCATAAACTTACATATACGGGAACACCATGGCGCCAAAAACTCATGCTTTTCAGAGTTCAGACCAAGGCTACTTACATTTGTTAAATTTGTGAAACCTCTATTGACATTTGAGACAAATAAATAGTAATGTATGGAATATTATAGGGAAAACACATTTTTTATATTCTTTTATCTAAACAAAGTCGTAGAGGGTAGTTACTAGTTACTAAGTTGATCTTTGACTATACTATTATGAAGTCATCAAAAAACGGGTCAATTATCGTGTGCGAAGCCTTAGATTGAGGCAGGAACCTACTTGACAAATGACTCCATCCCTTCACATGTCTACCTAAATTCTTCTTGGTTACAATGAGGTAAGACTTATTAGCATGTACTTCGTATATATTTACAATTTCTTTTTCACTTTTATACATTAACAAGCATATTCTACAATTAATTAAATTGATAAAAATAATAGTAATACTGTTTTTACATAAACTGACAAATTTATCAAGTCAATTAATCTACAGAGTAAATCATAAAATAAGATTTTTCCCGATGGTGAAAGATGAATTATTAAGTATTTCTTGTCCAATCTGTGTCAATGTTGTATATTAAGTAAATCATAAAAATATGGTTTTCCGGATCAGTAGAAAAGACTCAATTACTTCTTTTTTGTAAATTCCAGTCAAAATACATGGGTATATGTTCATATGAAATATGGAGTAATAGTCATAATTCCTATTCCTACCCTGATTTGAGTGTGAAATAAGAAAAATAAAATATGTGGTTAATATTTGTATTGGGGGAATAAGTAGAACCACAAATTCAATACTTTAAAAAAAGTGAAAAAGTTTTTTAGACAAATAAAAATAGCAAGTTGATAAAGTCTAATAAGACATGAGAGTAACAAATAGTTGGAAAAAGGTTAGGATGTTTTTACTTGGACGTTAATACGTCCCAAACCAAATCAGACTTGGATATTTATAAAAATATAGAGACCAGAAAATTACGATTCATGTAAAAACACCGTTACTGTACGCCATAAAGAGTAATACTCCGTAACCACATAGCTGCACCACATTGATTGTCCAAGATACTACGTGTCTACGTAGTATATTTGCGATGGCCGAAACTCTAGTATTAATGGCGTCTTAATATACCCATTTTATATAAAGTACCTGAAATAAAACTAAAAAGCTTTGAAAATTTCACTGCCATGTTTTTATTCCCAAAATAAGACTAATTACTGTCATGTTTTGGTAGTACTTCAAACATGACAGAATTTTTCAAACTTGACAGTAATTACTCCTATTTTGGGAATAAAAAATATGTGAGTCGTATTTTGAAAATTTCAAACTGTTTTAGTCCTATTTCGGGAACTTTCCCCCTTTTCAAAATGTTACTCTGTATGACCGTAAATCAATCAATTTTTAAACAACCGTAAATCAATCATTTATCCTTAATTTTCCCTAAATCAATAACAAACTAAAATCTACGTAGTACCTTTTACATTATTATCACATAGCCACAAATCTTCATGTCCAGCCGGTCTGACGGGAACTGCCGTACGGCCGAGGGCATTTTAGGCACTTCGCGATGGAATTGTTTATTGATTTTTTTTAACATGTTCTTCTTCAATTCTAGTTATCCATACCAAATTTCCGCTAAAAATTCAATCAGGAAGACAGTTAAATGATTTTTTGAAAAATACTGCGCTGTTTATATATATTAACCGCACAGTGTTCTTAAATAATTTATTTGACTATTGCTCCGATTAAATTTTTGAGTCAAATTTGATATGGGTAAACTAGGTTTGATAAGAACATGCTTAAAAATTTTAATCAAAAGATTTCATGTGAAAGAGTACGAAGAAATGCCCTCAGCCGGACAAGAAGACTCATCACATAGGGCTAAAGCCGCTAATAGTAATTAGTCGATTTATATTTGTGTAAAACCTTATTACTTCAATGAAATACTCGTAAATAAATAAAGGAAAAGGACCTTAGTTTTACGGACAGTTTTGTAGGGAAGCTAGCCGAGTTGACTCACCTTTCTTCATTGTAGGAATTAGATTTCTGGAGACATGGAGGGACCTGAGACTTCTCCTCCGCCGCAATGGAGTCCAAGATGCTCCCACTGAAGTACTCCTTTTCCTGGGACTGCATGTTCCCGAACCTCGGGTTCTCCGACATGTATTTGATGATAATTTCTTCCTCATCGTCGATGGAGTTCGCCGCTGCCGCCGCCGCACGAATCTGCGCCTCTTTTTTCAGAGCAGCACCGCTGCAGCTCTTCCTTCCCACTGCAGCCGCCGGTGACTGCTTCGCAAAGGGCGTCAAACCCTTTGCTCTGAAAGAAGCGGAGCCACCGCAGGAGATGAGTTGGAAGAGAACAGAACTCCGGCCGAGTAACGAGTCGGCCACCACCGGGTCGCCATCTTCGTACCTCTGGGAAGTGGTGTTGCCCCCGTCGTTGCACTTCTCGGACAAAGAAGAAGCGGTGGACGGAGGAGACGAGTCGCCCCGGGTCAACTCAAACCGGTCCGTAGTAGTTATAGTGATTTTCTCTTGGTAATCTTCTTCCTTGCAGTGGTTCTGAACCACCTCTTCCGGCTCGGGATGTCGTTTAGAAGCCGCGGGCCTGCGTTTTGGCGAAAAGTCTGCTTGTTTGACTGGGTGGGCGCTTCTAACAAGGTCAAACTGTGGGGCATTGTTGACTTGTGATTTCTCTGGTGATGGACAAGAAAATAAATCAATCAAATCGAATTGAATACGTTGAAGAAAAAGAAGACAGATTTATTTGTCATTGAGGAAAGAAACAGGGGAAAATTCACCGGAGGAAGGCTGAAAAAGTTCAGAGCCTTTGAGTATGTACTCTGCTCCTTCACATGGGTAGATAACGTCGTTCTCAGCTAAGTCGTTCCACACATACCCGTTCTTGTAGCTCCTGCCCGCATCAAGTTTAAAAATTTATTTGGATTTGGATACACTGAATAAAAGTTATTTCAGTACTAAGAAGATTATAGCTACATATACCTTTTGCAAGACCAGGAGTAGAGTGAAGGCATCCCTTTGCCTCTTAAGACTGTAAGCCGGTCCATCACATCTGCATATAAATGAAGAACAATCATGAATGGTTGATGGAGTTGGGTTAAAGAGATTCAGCCGGCCAGTTTATTCTTCTTCTGGATTATAATAATGAGTATATGCAGAAAGAAAAAAGACTGGACCTTTCAGGAGAAGGTCGCGGCGGGTGGGAAGAAGAGCGACCTCCATGAAGTGAGGGTGCTCGAGGAGGCCGTTTCTGGAGAGGTAATACACAATTTGAACCTTTCGCACAATGGGTCGGGGTGTGATCAATGCCGGCGGCAGCGGCCTCTTCTCCGGAGGCGGACTGCCACCTCTTCCGCTCCCATTGTTGTCACAGCGGTGGCGACCTGCACCAACTCCCGTCATCTCTTCTCTTCTCTTCTCTGATAATGTGACTGGTCTTCTCAATGGATTAGCTTTTAAACAGATCTGATCTGATCATAAATCACAAAGAAAAAAAAAAGCTAGAGAGACCTGCCCCTGCCCCTGCCCTGCAAAAATGAATGTTATAATCGATCAGAATTCAGAAGCAGCAAGCAGCTAGGCAGATAGGCAAGGCAGCTTCTATTTATTTCACTGTACGTACGAACGTATGACTCGTCTATCTATGCAGTGTAGGAGTATATAGTTAAACCATTAATTAATGAATTGGTACCACAGCACTGTACATTTACATTTGTCGAGGGACAAGCTCTGCTCTGGTACACGGAGGAGTGCATACAAACATTATTCTATGCACGTTCTTAATAGCTACACTACCAACATTATTCTTATTAATTTCTACAAACAAGTTACAAAAAAAAAAAAACAAGTTACAGTCCTCAGCTCTAATGTCTCCTCACACTGCACCCTCTAATTCTTATTTCTTCATGTCATTTTTTCTTCCTTCAATTTTTTTAAATGACTTCCTTGTTAATGTGTAATTCAAAATGTGTTTACATAATTGTGTGTGTGAAAGTGTAGGGGCCTTGTTGTACACGTGACCATTACTATAAATGGTATGAGTACACGTATGGCTTGTGTGGGCAGATTTCATTTCTTATAATACAACCTTCTTCTCTCCTCTCTAACTGTGAGTTAGTTATTTTAACTGTCATGTCATCTGTGCCATCAATTGGTATCAGAGCTTCTCGTTCCTCAGCACCGGAGTGTTTTCTTTCAATTAGCGAGTCGGTGGAGTCTAATTAGAAGAAAAACATATGTCGAGCTCTACTGGGAACTTCTTTGGGAATCTACCAATTCTCGATTCGAAGAATTGGGACAAATGGCAGATTCAGATGAAAGTTATTTTTGGATTCTAGGAAGTAATTGATGTGATTGAAGATGGATATTCTGTACTAGGTGAGAACCCTAGTGAGGCCGAGAGGCGATCGTTTCGCGAGGCCTACAAGAAAGATTGTAAAGCCCTGTTTCTCCATCATCAATCTGTGGACGAGGCACACTTCCAAAAGATATCTGCTGCGAAGACTTCGAAGGAGGCCTGGACGATTCTAGAACAGTGTCATGTTGGAAATGAGAGAGGCAAGAAGGTAAGGCTGCAATCTTTGAAACGTCAATTTGAGTTGTTAAAAATGCAATAAACCGAAACTATTGCAGAATACTTCAGTAAAGTTGTGAATTATGTGAATGCAATGCAAGGGTGTGGTGCTGAGATTAAGAACTCAGAAATAAATGAAAAGGTGATGAGAACTTTGGTCAAGAAAATTGATCATATATCTGTGGCTATAGAAGAAGCACATGATATCACATCTTTGGCTGTAGAAGCACTGAAGAGTGCATTGGAGGTTCATGAATTAAAATTGATTGAAAGAGCTGATGAAGAAAAACAAGAACAAGCCTTACTGGCTCAGAATTTCAGATTCAAGAAAGGAGTTAATAAAGGTGATGGATGGTCTACCCGGGGGGTATCTTATCCGAGGGGTTATTGCGGGAATAACTAGAGAGAAGTCAGAGCAAATAGGAGGAGAGAGAGTCGATTTTATTAAATGAACTCGAGATGTCGATCTGGGATCCTTTACAAGAGGAATAAGGGCCGCTATTTATAGCAGCCATAAGTGCGATGAGAGTACACGTGTCAACAATCTGATGGCCGAGGGGTCACCTCAATCGGGGTGGCACCGACACTCGCATGTGCACCGCATTAAATGCGGTGGGTGAATGTGACGCCGCATTGAATGTGGTGGTTGCTTGTCTCCAGAGGAAGCTTCGTAGAGTGTAGACCCTTCGGCATGGATCATATGGCCGAAGGCTTCATGTGTGGCCGAAGGCTGCATGTATGGCCGAAGGCTCCATGTATGGCCGAAGGGTCCATGTATGGCCGAAGGCTCCATTTATGGCCGAAGGCTCCATGTGTGGCCGAAGGCTCCATGTGTGGTGGTCGAAGGCTCTCTGTGTGGCCGAAGGCTCCCTGTGTGGCCGAAGGCTCCTGTTTTCTGTCATTTTCTCCCAGTAGCTTCGCATGGTCGAATATGGCGGTTCTGTGAGTTTTGGAGCCTTCGGCCAAGGAGGCCGAAGGCATCCCTGTGTGTACTGTGGGCTTCTTGACGCTTGGGCCGCCGAATCTTTGGCCTCCTGAGCTCCTTGGGCTTGTTGGGCTTGTGAAAGATTAGTAGGAGTCTGTGGGCGGGGGGTTCCTGAGCCATATACTCCATCAAAAGGAAAAGGGAAAAGGAAGAACAAGCAGGTGCATGGTGTTGAAAAATCTGATAAAGAACATTCTGACTTAGTGAAAACTAAGAAGAAGAAAAAATTTGACAAAAGCAAGATTCAGTGTTACAATTGTGATAAGTGGGGGCATTTTGTTGATGAATGTTGGTATGGTGATGGGAAGGGTACGCAAAAGAAAAAGAGAAACACGGAATCAGAAGGAGAAGAAGAAAAAGAAGGAGCATTTGCAGCTGCACAGGAGAATTCTGAAGACGAGGAACCTGTAGTACTGATGACTGTTACTTGTGAAGAGCCAGAAGATAGGGATGTCTGGTATCTTGACACTGGATGCAGTAATCACATGACAGGGAATAAGGCTTGGTTAGCAAATTTTGATGAGAAGAAGAAGTGTACAGTCAATTTTGCTGATATGAGTGCAATTAAAGTGGAAGGAATAGGGGATGTGATTATGACTGGGAAAATTGGTAAACAGCTGATTGTGGAAAGAGTTTTGTATGTTCCATAAATGAGGTGCAATCTCCTGAGTCTGGGACAGCTTGTTGAGAAGAAGTTTAAAGCAATTCTTGATCATAACCAACTTGAACTATACCGTTCAGATGATACATTATTTCTTAAGGTTCCATTATCCAGGAATTGGACCTTCAAAGTATGTATCAAGACTGAGGAAGTGCAGAGTCTGAAGACAACTCTGGCAAGTGATGAGAGCTAGTTATGGCATGCTAGGTTTGGTCATCTCAATTTCAAAAGCTTGCAACAGTTACACAACATATGGTGGTTGGAATTCCACCTATTAGTATGCCTACAAAAATATGTGGAGAATATACTGTTGGCAAACAACATAGAGAGTCTTACAAACATGCAGTTCCTGAAAGATCCTCTACATTGTTGAATGTGATTTTTTCAAATGTTTGTGGACCATTTGACCAAACTACTCTGGGAGGTAACAAGTACTTTGTTACATTTATAGATGATTACATCATGATGTTATGGATATACATGTTAAAAGCTAAGAGTGATGTGCTAAGTATATTCATTAAGTTCAAGAATTTAGTTGAAAAGCAAAGTGGTAATTCAATTAAAATTCTTAGAACTGATGGTGGGGAGGGAGTATACATCTGCTGAGTTTCAGAAGCACTGTGATAATCATGGTATTGTACTTGAAATTACTGCTCCCTATACTCCTCAGCATAATGGAGTGGCTGAGAGGAGAAATAAGATGATTCTGAATATGGTTAGGTGCATGCTTAAAGAAAAAAACTTGCCTAAATTTCTGTGGGGAGAAGCTGCTAATACAACAGTTTATTTGCTGAATAGAAGTCCTACCGTGAAGTTGGATGGGAAAGTGCCTGAAGAAGTGTGGTGTGGAGTGACACCAAGTGTGAGACATCTCAGAATTTTTGGTAGTGGGTGTTGCAAGCATGTTCCTGATCAGAAAAGAAAGAAACTGGATGATAAAGGGGTTCCAATGATTATGGTTGGATATCATTCAGTGGGTGCTTACAAGTTATTTGATCCTGTGAATAGGAATTTTGCTTTCAGCAAAGATGTAGTGTTTGATGAAAGGCAAATCTGGAACTGGAGTGAACCAGATAAACCTAAGATGAGACAAGTCCATGTGAATTCTGAAGATGATCCTGAAGTGACTAATGAGAACCATCAGTGGACTAATGATGGTGATGTTGTTGTAACTTCAGTTCAAAGATCTCAAAGAATCAGACAACCCTCCACAAGGCTATCTGGCTATGAGGTGTATGATGATTCAGAGATTAATGAAGCTGGTGAATTGTTGCATTTAGCTTTGCAAGCTGAATGTGAGAATCTTGACTGGAAGGATGCATTGACACAACCCGAGTGGAAGAATGCAATGATTGAGGAGATCACGACAATAGAGAAGAATTCTACATGGGAGCTTGTTACACTACCTCCAAACAAGAAGCTTATCAGTGTGAAATGGGTCTTCAAAACAAAGTTCAGACCTGATGGAAGAATTTCAAAGTATAAGGTCAGGCTGGTGGCTAGAGGTTTTCTACAGAAGGAAGGCCTAGATTACTTTGAAGTATTTGCTCCTGTGGCCAGAAATTGAAACAATAAGATTGGTGGTGGCCTTAGCTTGCAATAAAAGTTGAAGTATGTCTCAACTTGATGTGAAATCTGCATTCCTCAATGGGGAACTAGAGGACGACGTCTATGTTACTCAGCCACTAGGTTTTGTTCAGTCAAGAGTCGAGGATAAAGTTTTCAGACTAAAGAAGGCATTATATGGGTTAAAACAAGCTCCTAGAGCTTGGAATAAGAAAATAAACTCTTATTTACATATGATTGGCTTCAGAATCTGTGTCAATGAGCATGGTGTGATGTCAGGAGGACAAAACATGATATTGTGGTGTTATGCCTGTATCTTGATGATCTATTGGTGGTTAGTAACTCATCTGCTCAGATTGAAACTTTTAAAGTTCAAATGAAGCAGCGGTTTGATATGACTGATCTAGGACAACTTGCATACTTCCTAGGGATGGAGTTCAGTCTTGAAGATAGTGGAATATTCATACATCAAAGAAAATGTGTAGCTGATGTACTGAAAAGATTCCAGATGACAAATTGCAATCATGCAAACACCCCTATGGATCCCAAGCTGAAACTGGGACTAAATGAAGAAGAGGAGGATGTGAATGACAACCTATACAGAAGTATTGTTGGTTCCTTGAGGTTCACTTGCAACACTAGACCTGATATTGCTTTTAGTGTTGAGCTTATCAGCAGGTTTATGCAGACTCCCAAGCAATCTCATTATGTAGCTGTTAAAAGGATATTGAGATATCTTAAGGGTACTGCAGATTGTGGAATTTGGTATCCTAAAGAAGTGTTATCTGAGAATGAAGGTCTTGTGGGTTTTTCAGATTCAGACTGGAAAGGTGATATTGAAGAGAGAAAGAGCACCACAGGTTATTTGTTCAAACTCAATGGAGCTACAATATCCTGGAGTTCTAGGAAGCAACCAAAGGTGTCCTTATCTACATGTGAGGCTGAATATGTGGCAGTAGCATATGTGATAGACAATTTAATAGTCCTCGCAAGTGCACGAGTCACTGTAGTATAATGCACAAGTAAGGGTCGAATCCACGGGGAAAATGTAACTAAGTAATTGGAAAACAGTTAAATAAAATGAAATTAGTTAATTAACTAAGTTTTGAGAATATTTTGATTTGAAATTGAAAATGAAAGAACTTGATTTAAAATGGATGCAATGAATTTAAAAGATTAAATATAAATTAATTGAACAACTAATAGAAGATTGATTGGGAATTTAGCAAGAGAAAAATATAGTCCAGGATTATGAATCAGTCACTAATCTTTAGTATTTGCGATTTAGTTAGTCAATTAAAATTGAGGGTTCGTTCTAGACAAAAATATGACTTTTCCGTATGGCGTCCAGAATAAGTCATGTACCTTAACTATTAATCAATAAAAAATTATTAATTTAATAGTTAAAATCCATTAAACACAAAAGAACTACGGAAACCCGATTTAAAAACCAAATAGATAATCTAACAAGACAGTAAAATTATCTATTCTTTTATCCAAAAGAGCTCGAACTAATAGGCATGACATGTACTCTATTAATCCACTCAAACAACTTAATTAATTATATTAAAGTTGGCCAAAAATTAACACAATCAATTAGGTGAATAAGAACAATGGATAAAACTCAACTAATTGACATAACTAAAATCACAATTCATACAAAATCACAGCAACTTCATCATAATCCGGACTTAAGGAATTTAGCTACTCATGTCAAAACTGGCTGAGAGTAAAACAACAATAATAAAAGAGTTCATCTTGAACATTTAACAATCAACAAAATAACGAGTACTGACAATTCCCAAATAACTAAACCAAAGCAAGTTTGTTATCAAGAAAAGTAACGTACAAATCAAGATCAAAAGAGAATATTGCTGAATCAAACAATAATTTTTCAAGCACTAACTAATTCCTTCCTCCAGAAAGTTGCAGCCTGAAGTTCAATGAGTCATCTCCCAGGTTGCAACCCTTCCTCCTCGCAATCCCTCCTTTAAAACCCTTGCTACTGCGGTTTTTTTATATCCCCGAATTACAGTCGGTTCCAACCCTTAACTCCTGATTTTTCGGTGCGGTTCGAGAGTAGGAACCGCAATTTGTGGAGCCGTTTAGAATTGATGATGAAAAGAACTCCCAAACCTACCTCCTTTCCTTCTGCTTCTTGGACTCTTTTTCTTCATTTTTGTTGGTACCGTTCTTGGACTTTGCCGGGCTGTTTTCTCTTTTACCAATTTTCCTTATCAGTCAAAATAAAAGAGTTAACTCTCCTTTAATTTTGTTCTCGAGCCTAGTTTACTCTCACAGGTGAAAGCTTCCAAATTTGAACTGGCCCATTCTTGAATTTGGAAATAAAATCTCTTCAATGAGCCCCAATGAGCCCAATTGCTTCATTTAAATTTCTCACCTGTAAAAATCAATTTTAAGACAAAAGTAAGATTAAAACCTCTCAATTAGGCAAATAATAAGTATAAAATTGTGATAAAAATTAATCACAAATTCTAACTTATCAATATGCAGCTTATCAAGGAGTATGGTTGAGAGCATTATTGGGTGAAATTCTGGGGGAAGAGCAGGAGGCCTTTCAGCTCTTGGTTGATAATAAATCAGCTATTAATCTTGCTCAAAACCATGTTGCTCATGGGAGGAGCAAACACATAGAACCCAAGTATCACTTGATAAGGGAAAAAGTCAAGGAGGGGGATACTTGTTCTCATATACAGCAGCAGTGAAGGAATAAACCTCAACACAGCCGATTCTCTCCCCCTCTTCTACAATCATGGGAGATTCAACTGGAAACTTTCTTGTCCCAAATTAGCTCACTATGCACATTTATTTTTTTAAGGTCATTTTGATCTTTCTATTCTCTTTATTTATGGGTGTTATTTTTAAAAGTCATTCCTAATCATACTACAGTAAAGACGTTGACATAGGGCAACGCCTCTCATGGCTTTGTAGCTTAATTGGATTGACTGGATGACCAAGTAGGGGAGAAGCAAGTCAGCTATGATCTTGGCTTTGTTGGAGTCGGGTAGTTTGCTCCGCTTTTCTCTCTTCCGCTACTTTCATCTTTTGTTCTCTTGTTGCCTTGTTTGGTGATCAGTGGTAGAGTTTTTGTCCAGCGGGTTTGTTTTTCCGTGTGTTTGTGTGCTTCGTGTGTGAGCATTTGTTTTGTTGTTTATTCATTTTGTTTTGTTCTGTTGTCCGGTGTTTCTATGTTGCCGAGAATTTTGTCCGACCGAGTTTTCTCTGGCCGAGGGATTGGTCCGTTCCAATTGTGAATGTGTTTGGGCTTTTGATCGTAAGTTTCTGTTGCTTCTTCTCTATCTCGAATTCGGTGTTCCTTTCATTGGCCATTCATGGATAGCTTAAATCGGGCTTATGGAAGGATGTCATTTAAGGAGCTTGATGGCGAGAGATAAAAACGGCAAGGCGGCAGTGCTCCCGGAACAGCACCACCTAAAATACTGATAGATCCCATAAACAAGATGATTCCTTTGGAGGTGGCTGGTCAAACCTCTTCTTCCTTTCCGGTGACCAGTAAAATCGAGATGATTCCTTTGGAGGTGGTTGTGCAAACCTCTTCTCCCTTTCTGGTGGCTGGTAAAATCAGGAGACTTGATTTAGTTTGTCGCTTTTCTTTTAAGAATCCTTGTTTAATTACTCCCTATCTTAGTAGCAAGTTTAGCAGTGGTGTTAGATTAGCCTACATCGTTGTGGGGTTAGCAAATATGTTGGGTCCTTCGGGGCTAATCAATTCTATGTTTCACCCCAGTGTAGGCTTGAGGTGTTGTATTGCTTTAGCTCTTGTTATTTTATTTTTTTGAAAGATTGTTATTTTCTTTATTAATAAATAAATAAGTTTCCTCCTTTCAAAAAAAATCATACGATGGTAAAAATGCATGTGTGGTCATGCTTGGGGAATTGTCACTTTACCGAATTTGGTAAAGTTTGTATCAATTAATATCAACCACATAAACATACTTTTCTTAATAACTGTGTCACCCTCTTCCATCTCAATATTAGTGGGACAAATATTGTACTTGATTTTATTCCACTCTTACCAAATTCATTCAAGTAGTGAACCGGTACTTTTTGTGCACCAAAAGTTTAGTCCATCCGTATTTTAAAAATTGCTACAATAAATTTTGGCACATTATTTACGGAGAAAAATATTAGAGGTAGTGAATAGTGTAGAAAAAAGTAGGAAAGAGTGTAAAAGTATAAAGAAAAGAACTAAGTGAAAAAAATAAGAGTGATTGAGTACTTTTAAGGGGAAAACATACCAAAATGAGAAAGTTTAGCAAACTTTTAAATACGGAAGTCTTATATAATACTCCGTATGACTATATTATTATAATCTATTTATGAGACCTAGGGTAATACCGATTATTTGGCATTTTTGGTTTCTTAAGATTTCAACACTCTATGTCTCTATGTGAGTATGTGTATGTCTGTATGTTCCGCATAATGCCATAATCTTTCTATAATACGGAGTATGCAGTTAGAGAATTGTTGTTATGATTTCCTGATATTTGAAGAACTAATCGAACCCAAAACATAAAAGCGGGTTCTAATGAAACTCTAAATTTTGTCCCATAAACGAAACTCTAAATTGAGGGGGAAATTATTGACCCATAAACGAAACTCTAAATTTTGTCCCTAATGAAGTAATGTCAGATTTCATCAAATGAGATTTTAATGCCCAAAAGTGACGAGGCAGGAAGGAGTATTTGATGCATATGGAGGATGGAATTTCCCTGATGGAGCTAGTCATGGATCCAAGACTTTTCAAAGGAGACTTCGGTGTGAGGTCAACATCACCTCTCCTAAATTAATAGCGACTTTAATTTGGTGGTGAGAATGGCAGAGTTAGAAGTAGGTCAAAATTCAACCAAAAAATATGTTTGTGACCTACTCCCTCCGTAACTTAAAAATCTTCCCACTTTCCTTTTTCGTCCGTAACACAAAAATCTTCTCATTTCTAAATCTTCCCATCATACCCTCAATAATTCTTAAAATAATACACTATTACAACTATTTTTTTTGGATTTATCCTACATTCCACCACATTATTCCACTATTTTCCCATCATACCCTCAATAATTCATATCATCTTTCACTATTCTTAATCTACCTACTTTTGAAATGGGAAAATTTTAAAGTTACGGAGGGAGTAAAAGTTTTTTTTGTCTGTGAGTTCCGTTAAGAGACAATATTTTGTTTGTACAAAATTTGCACAGACAAAATAATACATATTTTGTCTGTGAACCGGATTTACAGACAAAAAAACTTTCACAAATATAATGGGTATAAGGTAGGTATAAGGGTGGGTACATCACACATTGTTGAAATTTAACTAGCCCCAATATTAAAAGGTGAGATCATTTTGTAACAATAATTACATTAAATAATACTCTCCATCTCATTTTGTAAGTTACACTTTTCTTACAAAAATGGTGTGACTATTTGTGGTGATGTATGGGAAAATTCCTATCATTACTTGATAATGATTTGGTGATACTCCGTACTATTTATTGTAATTGAGAGATTATTAATTAAATTTAATTCGATAGATAAAATGCATGTTTTTTGTTTTGATAATGCAACTACTAGTACTCGTGTGTTGACTTTGATTGCATTAATTATGTGATCCTTCTTGTAATATGGGTTAGTCTCTCATCAACGATGTAGATGCTATATTTTGAATAGGCGTGTCTATAACAGTTTGACCGCATTTGACAATGTAATGAGGAATATTAGAAATGTGATTAAAAAATATATGAAGTAGTTACTTCATTAAGCAATGTTGGTGAGAATATGTGAAAGCTTGACATGTTAAATATTGTGTATTTTTTAAAGATTTGTCTATTTATTGGAATAATACTTATAAATAGATTCATGCTATTCTTAGATTTAAAAATGAATTATTTGTTTTTTAAAAAATAATGTTGCAATCATATTATTGAGCCATGCGATCGAAACAATGCCACTCTATTTCTCATGTTTTTTCAACCAACTAGTATAGTAGCACTTTTTTTTTTTTAAAGGGATATTTTATTAAGAATAAGAGGAAATGATACAAGCAAAGCAAGAAAATGAAAAGTACAATAAAGATAAATGAAAAAACAAGATATTTAGTTAGGGAACTTAAGAAAAGAAGCCCTCGGAGCCGCTCCAGTCATCATCCCTCGTGTCATGTCTGAAACCCCCAGATTGAGATCTAGTTCTCATAGAGTGCAATCGCCGATTTTTCTTTTTTTTCTGATAGATTTTGATTTGGGTATTCAAATTGCTCGTAGGCAGATAATTTTCCTTAGTAACCAGATTGGATTTGTGACAAATGTCTCTGTTTGTGTCTGAATCCCATAAATCCTCGGTGATCGATAACGGAGGCCTTTTGTCACTTTAGTTGTATGTTTGACATGACATTTTTTAAGAGTTTTTTCAAAAATTAAAAGATCTTTTTTGAGATGCTACCGGGTGTAGCATCTGAGAAAAGCTCGTGACTTTTATTATTAATTAGTCCTAACAGCTTGTATACCAAACCGAAGTAAATAAAACAGTCAGCTTTTTACCAAACTGGTATCGCCTTTTTCTTTTTATAATCTTTTCAGTCACTAAAAGCTAACAGTTACTAAAAAGCTCATCAAAGTATCTTTTTAGCTAGTTGTGCCAAACATACTCATAGTAAAAATCAATACATATTAAAGGTAACAATGTAAAATGTTAAACTTCACAAATTTTATGCGAAAAATTAAATTATATTTATATTGAAGTAGTTCAAACAAGCCAATATTTGAATATAATTATACAAAGTCACTTTAATTTAGTTTAGAGCTTTAAAAAATACATAAGTTAAAGAAAATATAAAAATGCTAAAGCAGATTCAAACTCCAGACCACTTGACAAACCCAATGCACACATTGAAGGCAAATCCACATTGCTACTATAGCTCTCTGCTACCAGAGTCGTTATTAATGTATAATATACATATATTTAATATATATTTACACATAAATTTTATACGAGTACTATATATAGGGGTTGGGTGGGGTCGAGTGGGGACAACTGCCACTTACCCCATAGTAGATCTGCCCCTGTTGATAATGTCTCCGGGTAAGCTATTTCCTTAACTTAAATCTTTAATTGTATGTAATAATATAAAATAAGAATTTGGCAAATTTCAAAACAAAAATCATATGGCTGTAACTTTATCTCAATGTTTTGGAACTTACTAACCGGAGAGACTACTTAGTTGATTTTCATTATGGGAAAGCAACATTTACACTTGGATTCAACTAATATATAAATTATTTTCCAATAATTCGATGTTTAGTGTTTTATATGAAATGGGTCCACCAAATTTTCTTCCTTCCTGCAGCGCACATCTTTTATTGAGTAAACTACAAAATTTTAAGAAGCCCCATATAACTCCCTTATGGAGTCATATGAGGTATTGTGACACCACAATCACCATTCATTTATAATGCTGACATATGTATAACTATATGTGCAATCAAGACCGGACCGGATCCGTGTATAGGACCACTTCGCGGTGTGGGAAGTTAGAGCATCGGGCTGTGCTCTTGCTCCCGACCCTAATGTAGGTGAGTGGTGGTCAAGCAAGTCTAGACCCCATTTTTTTAAAGACCGGTCAGCCCATATCGAGCCTGTTCCATACTTCCATGCCTAGTGTGTTTCGAGTTGCAATGGTAATGAGGGTTCTTATGAAAGATGATGATAATGCAAAATGGTGAATTACCATACACACTCATGTCTGGATTGTGATTTTGTGAGAATTTCACTCTAAAAATGTTTAACCTATTTATGTAAATGTCCTGGCACTTAGTAATTTTTGACTGCACATTTCTATTTGATTACAACTCAAACTATCCACAGTTCTTTCTTTTATTGGATCATACATTTTTTGCCTCTTTTAAAGATTTAAAAGATCAAATTTATTTTATTTCCATTGATTGGATTTATTATTTGCATACCTAAAAAAGGCCTGGCACCCAAAAGATAGTATCAATATTTGAAGCCCAGAGTAACGTAAAAGAATTCATGTCCCTTCATCGCCACTACTTAATCCAACAGAACAACTTCGGACTACGGTATCTATCAATTCACATACAATAAATTTCACAAGATAACCCGCTTGGGTTGATCAACTAGTAGGGGTGGACTCGGGCCGGTTCGGGCCCAGTTCGGGCCTAGGCCCGGCCGGGCCTCGATTCATGAAAGGGGAGGCCCGGAACTAGCCCGGGTAACCCCTGGGTCCGGTTCGGGCCGGGCCGGGCCTCGGTTCAACTTAATTTTTTTTGGCTTTTCCCAATTAACCCCCAACCCTCCCCCTCACCCCCAAACCACCTCAAATGGTCCAAAATACCCAGCCCAACCAAAAACTTAAAAAAAATTCAAAAGAAAAAAAAGAAATAGGACCGGACCGGGCCCGAACCGATCGGGCCGGTTCACCTTTTCAAGGGCCCGAGCCCGGCCCGGAACCCCAGCGGGTCGGGCCTACCCGGACCGGTCCCTGACCGGGCCGGCGGTTCGGGCCGGTTCAAACAGTGACCGGGCCAGGCTGCCCGGCTCGAGTCCACCCCTATCAACTAGCTAGAACTAGGGAAGGATTCGGGCCGGTCGGCCCGACCCGGGACCGGCCTGGCCCGGTCACTGTTTGGCCAGGCCCGTGGCCCGGTGGGTCCGCCGGTTCGGTTTGGCCCGGCCCGGGTGCTGGGCGGTCCGGGCTCGAGCCCAGCTTTTGGTGAACCGGCCCGGCCGGTTCGGGTCTGGGCCGGATTTTAATTTTTTTTTTTTTTGAAATTTTTTTAAGTTTTAGGTTGGATTAGGTATTTTGGGCCATTTGAGGTGGTTTGGGATGGTTTGGGGTTGAGGGGGAGGGGTAGGGGGTTAAATAGGAGAACCAAAAACCAAAAAAAAAAAAACATGTGGGCCGGTTGGCCCGGCCCGGTTTGGCCCGGAACCGGAACCGGAACCGGCCACCGGCGGTTCGGGCTCGGGCCTACAATTTCTGAACCGCGAACCGGCCGGGCCCAGGCCCGAACCGGCCCGAGTCCACCCCTAGCTAGAACCCTACAGCAAACCATTATGCATCACCATAATAGGATTACACGGATCAAAAGTTCTAGAATCCCATATAAAGGGGCGGAAAATTAGTCTTCACATCAATATAACAAAAAGAAAAGACCAAGGCTATGCTCGGCTCGTCGAATAAGCTAAAAATGAGCTGAAATATGTTAAATCCAGCCAATTAAATAAGAGTAGCCCCATTTAGTACAAGAACTTAAGTGGGCTGGATTTGAAACAAGGCGCCTGAATAGGAACGCTAGTCATCTTAACGTTTGAGTTCAGTTTATTGTACAAGTCACCTCCGTTCCAAGATTATCCTTTACGGGTATTTTTATTTTGGGTCGGTCATCTCTTTCTCCGCGAGTTTGCATGTCCGCCATCAGGGCAACTTGTTTCTTCTCAACATTGTGTTGTCTTGCGAAAATGGACAATACGAATTTTATTAAGCTCGTGTTGTTAATTGGACAAATTTGGGTTTAATTTTTAGATATACTATCATATGTTTCGTAGAGAATACACACACATACATAAATACAACACACTAAATTTTGATATTAATTAAAAATTATTAAAATAAATACTACCTCCGTCCCACTAACATTGGGACGGAAGAAGGTGACACGGTTATTAAGAAAAGTGAATTTATGTGGTTGATATTGAATTGAAAAAGTAAAAAATAAAGTAAGAATGATTTAGAGCCACACAAACTTCCTCAAATTTGGTATGGGACAATCTTAGTGGGACTTCCCTAAAAGGTAAAATGGGACAATCTTAGCGGGACGGAGGGAGTATTTTGTTCTTCGTTTAATTAATTGTATACCATTTAAGTAATTTCATGATATCCAACTATTCTTTGACTCTTTTTACCAAACAAATTTACTTCATTCAATCAGCAATTCAGATTTAGCCCTTCAAACTTCAGTTCCAAACAATAAATTCTAATGCAGACGTTAACCTTCAGCTTCAGCTCGTTATACCAAACATAGCCTAAGCATAGCCTTCATTTCAGACATTAATCTCCCGCTTCAGCTCGTTGTCCCAAACATAGCCTAAGCAAAACAAGTGACTTATATGACTCCATACCCTGATAAGTGACGATGACCCACCCCCCGCCCCCCTTATCCAGTGACCAACCCCACAATAACTCATCGCACTTTAGTGACCTGATGCCGCCCACCAATGACACCACTACCCAATGCCTCAATGACACCACTATCCAATGCCCCAATGACACATTGACACCACCACCAGTGCCTAGTGACCCTCCTGGCTCCTGCCATCGGCTGATTAGGGTATTTCAGATTTGTTTTATACTTGAAGAGTAGAAGGTATTTGGGTAATATATCACACTTTTAATCACTTGTTTATTTTAAATAGAAAGTGGTCATGCTTTTATCAACTGAAATTGGAGGAATTTTATCGCGAAACAACACAACTAAATAACCGAGTAACTTATATATGCTGAACTATGAGAATCTTCTTCACGTTGGGAAGATTAAAGAAACGATTATTTACAACAGACTTCTCTCAAAGTATCTGAACAGGAAAACAGATTCTCAAACTAGTACAACAGTTGCATAGCATTTAATTACTATATTTAATGATAATAATACACACAGACACGGGCAGTTATCCCCCACTTCTTCAGCCCACCTACCAAAACGGACACCATCTGCAGTAAAAACAGGGCCGGTAATGATCAGATCATGATTTAATTGCAAGGTTTTGGCAAAGAACATATTCCAGTATGGGCTCCAAGACTATTGTGTCAATTTGACATCAGATCCACCATGTTCCACTTTTAATGGACGAATATGTATTTCTTGCTCCTCCAGATCACTTATCCAGCATAAAATCAATAAAAATTGTAGTCGCCGGAAAAATGATTCAAAAGACCAATGGTTGCATGAAATCCAAATTCGTACACATGGCAGAAAAAATAAAGTCGTGCACCAAACAAATCTGAAAATGGCCTAATATTCATATTACCAAGTTGTGAACATTGTTTTAAAATATTCCTGTAATCCTTGCAGTTTAGAGCATGAATTTCCAATTACTTGTATTTTCATTCGTGTGAGGGGGGGGAGGGGGGGGGGGGGGGTCATACCCGACATAATTCTGGCACAAGTTTTCATGTGATGTTGCTTGTAGAATAAGCTTCTGTACTTGTAATTTGACTGATAAACCATGATCAGGTTCACGAATCTCTCCAGAAATCAAAGTGCTATGATCCAACGCATGCTGTACAGAGCTGATAGGTGGAGGGGAAGTGGAGAAGTCACGCCCTGTGAGCTTATTGCTCATTCGAGCCATTACAGCAACAGCACGCTCATTCAGAACCTCATTGGCATCTCCAAGTTGGTTAACAGCCTGCATTAAACAACATTAAGTTACATATAGGGGCGTGTAAAGTAGACATTTGAGAAACTTCATGAGGATAAATAGAGAGACATCTTGAAGTGCATGTGTGTGTGTATGTATGTTTATATATATGCCACCTGAAGCAATTCCTTCTCCCTGGCACCTCTTTGTGGTTGAAGTAGCTCCTTGGAAGCAGATTCCTCACTATTGACTGCAGCAGGGGTGTGTAATGTAGACATTTGAGGAACTTCATTAAAGTTGAAAAGCCGCCAGTTTATTAGTGGGTCATGGACAAATGCCTGAAAGAGTTGGAAATAACTATGTTGGAAAATAGTTGAAGGGTCTATTTCCTCAACATGATGGAAAAGAAGTGCTCTTCTCCGCATTTTACCTCCATCATAGCCATTACACTGTCTTTATTTGTCCGAAGAACTTGCATTACATTTTCACAAGTGGAGCGGAAATTTCCTTCAATACCACTGACTTCCATTGCCTTAACAAGCATTCTAGTGAGGCGGAAAGGTACCTGCACATTTATTTACATTTACATGTTTTTTTTTAATTTTTGTTTTACTATCATTAAAACAACCCAGACTTAATACCTACCTTCTCAGGGAACTTTTCTCGATTCATTGAGGCTTCAAAGCAGTCTCCAAAGTCAATATGCAGTATTTTTCCACTGCAAACACACATTACTAAGAATATTGTTGGAACTTCTGGAATAAGCATAAAAATAGAGGCTAAGTACCTATATCGGTGCAACATGAGATTGCTAGGATGTCTATCTCCTAATCCAAGTAAGTAACCTACCTGTACGAATTCAGACCAAATTTAATTAATCAGACATCAGAAAAGCACTAGCCATGGTAACCAGGGGACAAACATATGAGAAACAACAGCCTACCATACTCATTACAGCCAAACTCCTGGTATAGTTTGTTCTTCTATCCAACCAGACCTCAGATGTGCGACTCTTTAACCAAAGTACCTTTTAAGATTTAAAAAACAAAATAAACAAAATATGGACAGCCTTTACTTTCAATGCCAATTATGGTAACTTATTTTAAAACAATACATCCCGACAATGCCTACCCTGGCAAGGTCATTCCCTTCTGTATTTTGCAGAGCAAACTCAAACACTTCCACCTTAGAAATAAGGGGCAAATGATCATAATCAGGAGCAAAACCCAACATCAGCTTATGCTCTTGATTTAGAGTAATCTACACATCACACAAGCACAACAATTAGATTGAAATACTCCCATTCCAGAGTCAAATGAGATGGAGAAAGGACATAAAGTACAAAAAAGACATAAAGTATAAAAAAACACAAAACCTTTCGAGCATCTCTATATTCACGAATGAGATGATGCAAAGTGTCGCAATTTGGAACCCATCCAATCAGTCCACTATTTGGGGACAACGGAATGACATCATATCGCTGAATAGAGAGATCTTTCTCTGCAGTTTTTCTAGAATTCTCCAACAGTGTATTGACAAGGCCAAAAAGCTGTGGCATATATATGAACTTGATTTGAGAATCAATTTTAGACTTGAGGGTGTAAAGGGACATTATTAGTAAAAAAAAGCATCTTGTGCGTATTTTGACTACAACTAGAGCACTTACCTGCATGACTCGTTCATCTTGACGCAAATCTTCATGACCTTTTAACAGAAAAGCATAATCCTCCCCATCACTGCCATGGATCGTCAATTTGCGAGGACGTTGCTTGGATGTAATTACAACAAGTTGGGGTGCAAACGATTTGATGGTTACCACAGGTGAATCTGAAAGGATTAGAAAGTGGATATGAAACTGAATTGATGAAACAGATTCCTACCACTTCAGAGCTTTCTCTGATGATAAGAACAAGTGCTTACCTGCTCGATAAGTGCCAGGAACAGCAAGCTCCAAATCTCTGCATTCCAGCAGTTCGGGCGAGACAGACTGGTTTTATCATATTTAAGAAACATTAAGTATTGGCAATGCACTCAGCATAAGATGTGACAGTTGTAACAATTATTGCTTCTTGCCTGCAAATCCAGAGTTGTCAACGCTTGAAGCTGCTTATCTATCCGTCTAAATACATGATAATAGAGATCCCAAGCCTGTGGAAAAAAAAGGTTTAACAAGTTCCAACCTCGAGCCCGAGCAGACAAGGATGTTTGACATAGCAGTACCAAGTTTCAGCACTTGGAAAATTGAATAGATAAATTGCTTGCAATACGAACATACTACAACCACCTTCAGCAAAAGTTCTACCTGAGTAAGTCCAGCATCATTTCCTGTTCTCCTATACTTCATGCAACATTCATATGCTTCCAATAGTTCATGGTGGTATGCCTGAAATTCAAATGAAGTCGAGTTTACTTCGAAATGTCAAACTTATTGTACTGTGAAAACTACGTTAGGAAATAATGAACGTATACACTTCCTTTGAACCGCCCCACTTACTTTTTTTGGCAGTTTTACTAAAAATTGATTTGAATCTTACTTTATACTTTTACTAAACTTATACTTTTCCTTGCTACTGAACTTATACTCCGTACTTTTATCTCTCTTTTTCTTCGGGAAAACTGTCAATTTGGTCCTCGTACTTTCACGAAAAAGTCAATTAGATCCTCGTACTTTTAAAAAAAATCAATCAAACACTCTAACTTTGTAAAAACGTTTAATTGAGTCCATTGGCGCACATGTGGCAGCCCAATCAGCAGTAATTTTGCTGATGTAGCACACATGAGGAGGTCCAGTCAACCATTTGTTGATGACGCGGCGCACATATGGACCACCATGTGTGCGCCTCATCAGCGGGTGACCTGATGACATGACAAGTAACCTGCAAATGCACTCAATTGAATGTTTTCACAAAGTTCGGGGATTTGATTATTTTTTTTAAAAGTACGAGGACCTAATTGACTTTTTCGTAAAAGTACAAAGACCAAATTGACAGTTTTCCCTTCATCTTTTTATCTTCTTATCTTTCTATTTTCTTATGTTATTTTTATCTTTTATCTTTCTTATGTTCTTTTACCTTTTTATCCTTTATCCTTCTTATCTTCTTATTTAATTTTTATCTTATATTAATCTTTATCTTATCCATTTTATCTTACCTTATCTTTTTATTTTTCTTATCTTTCTTCTCATTTTGGCTCTGATATCATGGATTGATTCATGTTAGCCGACACCAAAATATTTTTGGGAAAAAGGCTTGGGTGTTGTTGTTGTACACTTGTACTTGTACTGGAATTTGATTTGAGTCAAGACACTCTAAGTTCATGTTTCAAAATAAATGTAAAGCAACAACAAGAAACACATTAAGTCTCGCTAATCTCAGTATAACAATTAAATACTACCTCCGTCCCAAAATAATTGGCCAACTTTAAAACTTTGACCAACTATATATATTTATTGGAAATTATTCATAATATTAAATTGATATGAAAATATTCTTTGTTAAAATTACTTTCATAAAAGAATTTATAATTTTCATACTAGTATACTTACCAAAATCATGGTCCACTTATCAAAATCATGGTCCAATTTTTAAGATTTGATATGGACCTGAGATGGCAAGGGAATTACAAGAAATAATATTGTAATAACTGTAATAAGGAAGTGGGCTTGGCCCAAATAATTAGTTATTTTCAGGAGAAGCCTCTTTGGGAATAGAATAAATAGTAGGATTAGAGAAGGGAAAGGCAGTCTAGAGTTGAGTAAGAATTGGGATCTGGGAGAGTTGAGGCCTCTCGAAGCGCCTCGTCTGTATCTTCTTCTTCTTCGTTTCTACGCTTTTTACCTCAATAATGGCAATCAATTTACTGTCACAAAATTAGGGTTGTATCAAGATTTGGAAGTATTTTGGGACGGAGGTAGTTGTTAAAGTTCTTAAACACGTCAAAATTATGTTGAGTTCACCATATGGAATCAAAAATTCAAAACTACAAACATGGAGGCAGCTAAGTATCTCAGAAAGCTAATATGAACTGTTAATGAACTACTGAAAACAATAGACTGAAATCTCAGTAGGAAAAAAATGAACACTCGCCAAGAATTCAATAAAGGAACCACCTGAATGAATGATTTTTCCTTGATGGTGGTATTGTTCCTCAAAGCCCCTTCCTCCAGCGTTTCATGCAACGGCTCTAACACCTTAAGCATTCCTTCAATATTGTGTTCACCAAAGTACAAACGACTTGCTTCTTCTAATGCTTCATGCCACATTTCATGCCATAATATGGCAACTCTTATAAGTTCCTTTGAGACAAGTTGTGCCTTTCAAATACAAGCAAAAGGCCTAGATTAATAAATAAATATTTTTTTAGCAAATATACACAATTATGGCCACTTTGACCAACTACACGATAAAAGAGAAGTCCAATCATACACCTATGTTGAATGGACAGACACAAACACAGTAGACGATAAACATGACATGAAGAAACATCATTTTTTAAGGGGAACAGTTCTAGAATGTCTCCATAGAGTTTCCTATAAATTTCTGGAACATGACAAGAGTTTTTTTAGCATCATTGCCTACTACTTTTAACAAAATCACAAAAATGGCTACCCTCAATTTTGCATTTAACACATTAAATGCTGTTTACTGTAAAAGGAAAGCTTGGGGAGTTTAGCTTTATCTATGTTTTAATATTGATGGGCATCCCTAAGAGGAAGGGTTGTTAGTTAAAAGGTAAGGAATATGAGATGCTTAATTGCATTCTTCAGCTCTCACCTGATCAACCAGTATACCACTATGCTGCCTAACTTTATCCACAACTTCTTGAGCTGCCGCTCTACGTAAAGTGCTAATCGATTTGCAAGCCACAAGAAGCGGATACATTAGAGCCTGCATAAAATAAATAAACATGTTATTAAATTGTTATGTTTTTAGATGTAACCATTCATGGCTAAACAAAAAAAACGTCATAGCATACGGAAATAGGGATTAAGAAAAAGTGATTACCTGTGGGTGACTCTGACCAATTCGTACTAGTAGTGATTGTATCAGCTCTCTGACAGCGTGATTGTTCGAATGAATCCGTGCAATTATCTGAGGTAAAACAACCAACCATGTATTGATATTAACATGTGTGAACCCTTTCTGTAACGCCATTTGAACCTCTGATGTAGCCCCATGGTTGAACCATAGTGTGAGTAGCCGAAGTATGTCCTGAAATAATGAATAATAAACATTAAAACAACAATAAATCAGTACACAACAAAACAAAATACTTCAAACCATGTAAAAAGCTTCCCACCATTTGGACAAGCTCACGATGAGGAATGCATGAAACAGCATATGAAAACATCATGCAATTGAAATTGGCGGATGATTTGCATGAAAAAGGTCATTTGAAAGCGACATTCAAAAGAGTTCGATATTGCTGGCTAGAACTAATAAATTTCGGATCTGTCTCAAATATACTGTATCATACAAATCAAAGGTCAACTATTTAGTAGTTTGGTTTGCATAAAACAGATGGAAAAATATAGTACGCCAAAAATATACTCAAATATGTGCCCGTATCTCTGGATACAAAAAAATTATATCTAGGATAAGAGGGTAGTGAAGCAAAAAATAGCTGGGAGAGTGTAGGACATATGCCAGTAGGCTGCTAAGGATTGCTCAAATGCATCAAGTATCTTTCAACTTGAAAAAATTATGTTTGTTGAAAAGTATAAACAGAATCAGCAATAGCATTTGAAACTGTTACAACTGGTATGACACTGAATATACCTGCAGGCTATCATCCACTCCCTTCGCATGCGCTGCACAAGCTATAGAGTGAAAATAGCCAGTGACTGCAGCAACAACATACTGAGCAGCAAGACTGGGAAAGCCTCTCAAAGTATAATGAGACATCACTGCTGTATTGAAGAGTGCCCATTTATGCCATGCCTTCCCCCACTTTGGAGAACAATGAGTAGCTTTTCGGAATGCACCAAGTGTTTCTAGAGTAATGCAATGGCTAACAACTCAATCACAAAGAAGGTGGACTGCTATACCAGTAGTGAAGAAATGTACAGAGGTATGAAGGTCACCTTGTATGGAATCTTCATCCAGACCAGGAGAAAGTGCCCACTTCCATGTCCCAAGTATGAGATACACACGAGCAATGAGTGGTGCACTAGAATTAGTCACCAAACCAGGCTGCATCACTGGTTGAAGAGTTCTTGACAAGTCACTTGCAACCTCCTAATAAAACAGACAAAAATGCATTTATTGTATAGCTGTATGGGAATTTCACAAGAGTTACTACCCCGGAAAACAGGTAGAGTACCTTCAGCTTATTAAAGGCTTCCTTACGCCTGTGATCCTCACCGAGTGAATACTGGTATTTAAGGTATGCTAGCATCACTTGAGGTGGGCTATGATACCTTACCGTTTCAGGCGATGTTTCAGGATCAAACTGGAAAAGTTGAAGAATCATACAATCATAAATATAAGTTGGAGGGAGAAAACGCCACATAAAAGGAAAGCTCAATATCTTCATAACAAGTAAGTGATGCATAGGTTACTTGTAAGAGTTTCACTAAAGTAGATCTAGCCTGACTAATTCTGCCACTCTTACGGCAAAGATTGGCAAATTTGATCCATGTTTCTGTGTCTTCTGTGGGAGGCAAAACAAGTGCCCTGACAGCCAAAAGTCCTTGCCAAACCTGCGAAGTGCAAATTCCAAAAACTTTTAGGCTAGAAAAAACTGAAAACAATAACGAACAAAGCAGTCCAAGATTCCACACAACTTTAAATAAAATAAATGCAACACCAAGGTGATTGCATAAAACACATGCCAAAATTGAAAGAAAATAGAACAAAGAAGAACTTTGTCCAACTATGCAGAGCATGCCATGTTTGATAGTCAGTAATTACTACTACATCTATTTACTCTACAAGGTAGCCACACAAAAAGGGTTACAAAACTTACCTCAACATTTCTCTTTGTGCCCTTTATGCGCTCATTCCACATATTGCGAATAAGGGCTCTTTTACCCTCAGAAATAGGATTTCCAATAGGAAGTGTGCAGTATTCTATCACCTTTTGAGCATGCGTCAGAGTCATTTTCTCAAATTAAGATTAAAAAATCCAGCAAAATCACCAATGCATGAGCAAAGAAAAACAATATACCTCTTCCAGTTCAGAGAGCTGTTGCACACGAACCATATTACTGTATGCACGTTCATAACTTTCAAGAACCTATAAGAAGAAACAAACGAACATTCGTAAAACCACTAGAGCATCATAAGGTTATACATATAATGCAAACACTGCAACATATAAAACCAGGTCAGGAAAGAGAAGAAAGAGGAAGGAGGGTGGAAGATGCACACCAATGCAGCGAGCTCTGTAGCCAAACATTTCCTTGCTCTGTCAACATATTCGCGCGCTTCATCGTACTGGAAGAGGATGTTGAACGGAGGTTGAATACCAGTCTCACAAATAAAAAAAAGTAGACTATATATATCAATAATACCTTTCCCCTGCGAACTAGTAGCACAGCCCTAAAAAATGTTCCACTACTACTTCCATCACAAGTAGCAGTAGTATTTCCCAATACACGAAGTTTAGTTTCATCACCATCATCAAGCCGAGAAACATATTCTGACATCTGATCCCATTCACCCATGTTCCAGGCAGCACTAGCAGCCTGGATGAATTTAATAAGAACTTTCCTGATTTCTGAACATATTTCATACAACGCTTACATTAAAGTTAAATGCAAACCATTGGCGCCATTTCCAATCGAGCAGCTGGTTCAGCTGGAGTCCAGTATTCCTTACAAAGATTGTTAAGCTCTTCCCATCGTGCTAAAGCAGCAAGGCACCGCATTCTTCCTGATAGAAACATACAAGTGAAATCCCATCATCATGACAAATTGAACAAATAGGAATAATACATCAATAAACTAGTGTCAACTGATTAGTAAAAATTAGTTAGAAGGCTTAACACTGTATCTCATGTGAAAACAATAACATAATTAAAAGTTTACAGCAGCTTTCTGACGGAATGAGTAGACAAAACCTACACATTATAGGTTTTTTCACTTGAGTGAAAACTATTGCATGAGAGCAATGTATTGACTCGCCTGACTCACATTCCGTTACAAAATTGATATGTTAAAACCATTCTGTATCAGGGAGCGTGACACTAATAACAATATACAAAAATATTACTTGAAAATTGCAGCAGATCTGATTATCTGAATCTCCATTCCAGAGCATAAAGCAAGAGTAATTAAGAAAGAAATCAGAAGAAAAGATGGGGGGAAATAAGTTGACCTAACAAGTAACTAAAACCATCCCAGCAGAAATTTAAAATCTTTACTGTCCAGATATCACAAAGTACACACAAGTGAAGATGTGTTTCTCATGTCTGAGACTGTTTAAGCATAGAAAGCCTATATTAACTTGTGATTGGTGAATGGGTATAAACTATGAATCCATAAAAATATGCTCTATTTAACGGGGCCTTAGCATCAATTAATTCTTGTTTATTCATATTTCATTGTTTCTCTCTCGAAATAATCAGAGATCCTGAGTTTCATTGTTCAATCAGTTATAGTACACTTTTGTTCTCTAGATCTCGGCCTTTGACAAGATAATATGAGTCAATGAGTGTTGTTGACAAGTAACTACCATCCAGGCCCCAGGGTCAACTAGGCAAAGTTTAAAAATGGAACTGACAGTAAGAAACAATTGAAATCCATATACATAGCAGCATATAAAAAATTGCATTACTCACAACCAAACTGAGAAATTAAAAGAAAACTAAGTGAAGAAAGAAGAATTGTTTTGACCAAAATGAGGGATAAAAAATGAGCGTGTAAAACTTAACTGCTAGAGACAATATGTCATAGCCAAGGCTAAATCCAAAGAAGAACCACTTTAACTTTAGCACGAACCTATCATAGTGATAACTAACCAAACAACTGCTCAGCAGCCGGAGGACAATGTTATTTTATATAAATACAAACCTAGTGTAGCATCCAAAGCAAGATGAGGACTCGAAGCTTGTGATGCTTTAGCAGTGTATGCTTTGAGAGCATCATCCCACCGTTGCAATTTTTCATACCTTCAATTTGCAGGTGAAAGCAACATTACATAAGACAATGCACTAAGAGAAGTTTGGAAAAGATTTTCAAACTTCAGCAAAAATAGGAAAAAAGGATTAGGTAGTCAGGAAACAGAAATGCAAAATAAAATTCTGGAAGTACATCAAGAGAGTACCATGACTCTTTAAGTTGAACACCCAAGTTTTGCTGTGCATAAGTTAGTATTCCGACCGCTGCCTGGGAAGATCAAAAGACCTCCATTAGTGAATAAGCTTTGGGTTAGCATCAGACTATTAGGAACAGGAAATGCCAAACTAAAACCTCATGCTGATGTAATTGATTATTGATGTGAATAAGTGCTTCAACTACAGCAACTTGATTTGTATCCCTTCTACTAGACCGTGCACCTTCAAACTCCATTTCTTTATAGTGCAGGGCCTTTGCAAATGCACGGCACTAAAACAAAAACATAACATTAGGAAACAAAAACATAACATTATTGATGCACACGGGATCTAATCAATGTATCACTCCCAGAATCAGTACAATCATGCCTTTTCTGCAAGAGCACCAAGGAGACGTATGTCTATAGGAAGAGGTCTCTCATCATGTTCCATAAACTCGGCCTGGAAAATCATTTTGAGAATATGTAAATTATAACTGCAGATTGAGTGAACTTAACTATTCAAAACACTTTCGATCTGCTAACAAAAACCAAACGATTTTCGGGTAAACTCTGGCAACAATAAGCAGAAAATAACCACAACATTCTCATAACCATTCATACTAGGATGCTTAAGAGAAACTCTTAAAGAAAAAGCTCAAAAATCCATTGAACTAATTTTTAACTAAAAAGATACTACTCTCCAACTCAAAAAGATCTTAAAGTATTATTATATCTGCACAAGGAAGTAACTTATGTAGTACAATCCACTTCATATCTGGTTTCTCTCCCACTACTCTAGTACTTGTGTGCGACACTTAACTTCTGTGTAACTGACAAATGGTTGCTCCTCCCTGTCTGCTAAGCCTTCTAACTCATTGTTTTATTATAAATATAAAAGTAAATTTACAATGATACTGTAACCATTACACTAAAAGATATGACAAAATCTCCACATATATAAAAACCAACAATATAATTCATTTACTTGAAATATATGTCAAGTTAAGGAAAGTGATTACATCAGGGAATAACATATAACCAAGTTAAGGAAAGTGATTACAAATTTAACACACATAAACCTACCAAATTTAAAAGAGTTGCAAGAATCTCAGGGGGGATATTTGGCGATGAAAATGCCATTTCTAAACTCCGTACTAGCTGTCTTTGAGTGGCTTCATTCAGTTTGGACCAGCAACTGACAAACCCAGCTGCAAACAACTCCCGCCCAACAAAAGGCTGTGAAAACTAAGTATTAGATGGAATGCAAGCTATCTCAAACACATAACAGGTGACATTCTTTTCTCTGCCTATTTATCACCCGTCTGTTCTTGTTGTGGCATATGGGAGATTCCAGTAATAAACATAAGATTACCTGGAGCTGAGCAAGTCTTGCACAAGTTCTTAAAGCTGGACTGGGTGACTCCTTCAGAAGTTCAATGCTAAAATGCCTCATCCATTCCGCCCAATCTTCTCTTGTACTACGCTGAGATGCTTCACCGGCAGTCCGTAATCGGCCATCATTCACCTGCATGAAAAGTTGGTCAATTTATAAAGGAAGGATTAATGACAACTTGGCTACATTAGTGTCTATAGATACTTTGAAGGATTTGTTTGATTGATACCAATTAAAGACATCGAGAAATACAAAATACCTGGTGGCTTCTAAGCTGCCTATGCACATCCATCCCATCCTCATAATGCTCCAACTCCCCATCACTCAAAGGATCACTAATAACCTCTATTGGAAGCCGCCGACTTAATCTTTGACAAGTTGTGCTTGCTAAGATCAATGGCTCTCGTCTTTTCAAGCGTCCTTCAATTTCTTCAAACTCCTTATGCTGTGCTCGAAAAATTGGCATAAACATACAATAAAAGCGCAATTGTGACTTATTGATACAAAAACAGCCCAGTTTACACTTAGTAACCTTTTGTTTTAACTTCTCATACTGAAAGGTCCAGTCAACTCTTTGAATATGTGACATTGAGTAAAAGCAAATGAACATTCAAGCAAAGAATCCACATTACAATATCACTTGATTGTCACATTATTTCACTAACCATATTTAGTTTTTCCCTAAATAAGTAAAAGGGAAGGCTCAAATAAGCCCTTCTCTTTTGAACCCATCAATTTCACCCTCGAACTGAAATAAGTTTCAAACAGAGATCCGAACTCCAAAAACTCCATTTATTAGACTATATGACATGCATCTGACTTGCTCTGATTTAATCATTCAAAAACTTTTTCATAGCATTGTCCACGTGTTCTTATTTTCTAGTCAGAGGGCATCTCATCATCTTGTTTACTCATTCTTTATTTCTTTTTCTTTTTTTTCCCTTCCCCTTCCTTTTTCTTCTCTTCTGTGAAATAAATTAAAATAAATGGAGGAATATGCTTTAGAATTTTTTAAGGAATACACTCCAGGATGTTATTATGGTATAGAATCAAATAGGAATATTCTATCTTGTAATGTATATTTATAGGAATCAAACCCTTCAATAAAAATACAGGAAATCCTTCTCTCTTTAAAAATTATCCTAGCTTGTACTCTACATTTCAACATGGTATCAGATATTCAGAGCCATAGAAAAAAAATGAATTAGCAGTGAGCTAATTTCCCATAAAATCACTAAGCATTTTACGGTCTGCCCCAGACCTTAGAAATTTTTAGGCCACGCCTTCCGTCGCCACCATACCCAGGTGGTGCGCTTACCGCCGACGACCAAGCCGCAAAAGTTCGACACCCGAAATCAACGCAAGTGAGCCACACGCACCGCCAGAGTCCGCGACATTAACTCATGCGCTGGCGCATGACGTGTATTCGCCGGCCAGATTTCTAATCGGAAACTACCTACTGGCTCGCTGACATATCGCCTATCTTCTAGTTTTGCTCGTCTTCAGCCCGAAATTACAAACTGTCGGTGGAGGGTCTCCAGGATAGACTTCTTCTGTTTCGTCAGCAATGAAGGGATTATGAATGCTTTGGCGCCTCCGTAAGTAACGCGGAATAAGAAAGGCATATTTCTATTTCAATGTAAATATGTAATTGTTTACTAGTAGAAACGGGGAAGTTGGGAGCAAACTCAAGCAATACTCCTATGGTTCCCAATGTGCAACTCACTCAAGAAGGCATGTCATTCGAAGACTCATAGAGATATAAAAGATTGGTTAGAAAGCTTAATTATTTCGCAATTACACATCCAGATATTGCTTACTTTGTGAGCGTAGTGACTCAATATATGCCATCTAGACCATTGACCATTGAGCTACCGTAGAACATATATTTTGTTATTTGAAGGGAGCACCAGGACAAGGTATTGTTTATCAAGACCATGATCACATGAAAATAGAGTGCTTTGCACTCTTTTGTATCCTAGAAGATGATCAAAAGATGATCAAAGATCTACATCTGGGTATTGCGTCTTTTGTGGTGGTAATCTAGTATCCTAGAAGAGTAAGAACCAGAATATGGTTCTCATTCGAGTGTTGAATCGGAATATTGAGCTTTGGCACAATCTGCATGTGAGATCATATGGATAAGCCATTTATTGAGTGAAATTGGATTGAAGACCCCATAAATTTTAAAGAGGAGGTACGGTTATTAAGAAAAGTGAACAATGTGGTTGATATTGAATTGATAAAGTAAGAATAGAGTAAGAATGGTTTAGAACAATGTTGTTAAGATCGTGATCCAACTCGTAGGATCGTACGATTTTACGATCAGATTAAGGAGGTGCGAGCTAGATCGTTGCTAGGATCGGAAAACGCTCTAGGATCGCCGGATCGTCGACTAGAATCGTAACTCGTACGATTCTTCGATCTACGCGAGTTGCGACTTCGAAGCTGAAAAAACAGGAAAGAGTCGCGGAACCCATCGCGACTTACGATGAATGAAGCCCAAGCGACACCTGCTGCGACTTTATCTTCCCTGCTTCTTGCACTTTAAATCAATTTTCCAGCTTTGTTTTCTCCATTTCGTCTTCATTCTGTCTTTCGTCTGCTTTACTTGTGTAGTTCCAATTTTAATTTTTTGGGACTGATTTTTATTGGGTCTTTTGGGTCAGATTTAGTGATTCCTCCTATTAAACTTGTTGTGTCAAATTAATACTTCGTATGTTAGGTAGTACTCCGTATTTTGTTGGGTCAAATGTTTTGGAGTCTTGACATTATGTTATTATTATTATTAATTGGGAATTTACGAATAATTGAATTGTGTGTGTGTGTGTATATACACTAATATTCAGGTCCGGCCAGGCCGGACCACTCCCCCCGTCCGGCCTCCTCCATTTGGGGGCCTTCCCGGTGGTATTTTTTGCTCAAATTTTTTGTGTAGGTTCCTCATCAAGTCTAGTTCATCCATACCAAATTTCAGCCAAAAATTCAATCGGGAAGGTCGTCAAATGATTTTTGCAAGTTAACTGGTCCGGAAAATACATTTGAGCAAAAAATACCACCGGGACCAGTTAACTTGCAAAAATCATTTGACGACCTTCCCGATTGAATTTTTGGCTGAAATTTGGTATGGATGAACTAGACTTTATGAGGAACCTACACAAAAAATTTGAGCAAAAAATACCACCGGGAAGGCCCCCAAATGGAGGAGGCTGGACGGGGCTCCGGTCAGGTATACCTGACCGGAAGACTACTCTATATATATATATATATATATATATATATATATATATATTGCACGGTAGGATCTTACGATTCGAGTTACGATCCCCTAAACCCCTTCCGATCCGTGCTAGGATCTCGATTTTAACAACCTTGGTTTAGAACCACACAAAATTTACCAAATTTGATATGGAACAATCTACCGAAAAGGAAAGATAAGACAATCCTAGCGGGACAGAGGGAGTAAATGATAAAGTTCACGCCAAAAGCACGGAATGGAAGATCAACTTTTAGATTGAGAAATTTATAAAACTAAAGGTTTCATAAGAAGATATGGACACTTGGAGTTATTCCAATTGTACAGTTATGCTCCTTCTCTCCTTCTCTGACATTGATGCCAAACCATGATGGCTTGGTATCCAACATGGAACACCCATTTGACAAGTCAAAGGGACGAAAGAAGAGGAAAAGGGAAGAAAGATTTGGCACATAAAATGATGACATGTCCTCCAACATTTAGAAATGAATAGTGTGGACACTGTTATAAAAGGTTTCAGAAATGTAAGAGTCATGCAGAAGCAGGTGATATGAGATGAATGATCGATTTTTAGATCAAACCTTTATTTAATGATTTCAGAATAGTAAAGGCACTTATTCAGTTATTTGACCCAGTTCCCCAATGAATAATAAAGGGAAAACTGTCAAATAGGTCCTCGTACTATTGTCAAAAAGTCAATTGAGTCCTCATACTTTTTAGTGAATCAATCAAGTCCACTAAGTATTAAAAAATGATCAATTTCGCTATTTAGGCGGTTGAGCGTAAACACTTCCGGTTAATGCTGATGTGACAATATTTTTCAGTTTTCCTTTTTTTATCCTCCTTTTCTTTTTCATTCTTTCTTCATTCCCAGCTGGTTTCTTCCTCCTGCGTTTGCATCGAGCCGTCCACCAGTTCCTTTTCTTTAATTTCTTTCTCAATTCTCTTTCTTTCTTTCTTTCTTCTTCCCATTCATTTTCTTTCTTGCCTGGTTTTCTGCCTCACCCCATCTATATTCTCTGTTTTGCATTTTCTTTTTCTTTCTTCACTACTTCCCGGTTTGTTTTGGATGGGCGCGAGCAACGACCGTTAGAGAAGGTGTTGCCGAGAGGAAGCACATATGGTAGATGAGAAGCACGTGACAGCATGAGGGATAGTTGTGGGTGACCGGAGGTGGGAGACAGCGGTTACGTTGAGATGTTGTGGGCGACTGGAGGTGGGGGACAGCGTTACGTTGGGATGTTGTGGGCGACTGGAGGTGGGGGGACAGTGTTACGTTGGGATGTTGTGGGTGACGGTAGAAGTGAGACAACGGCTGGATATGTTGTGGATGTAGGCCACCGGTGTCAGATTAAAGAGGTGGTGGGCGATGAGCTAAGGGTCACACTATAGTTGGGAGAGTTTTGGGCGTGCGGCGGCGGTTGAGAGAGTTTGGGTTACAGAGGTTGATGCTTTAATTTTGGGGGAAGGAAATAATTTTCAGGAAATAAAGAAAGACATGCGCAGGCAGGGGTTAGGGGAAGAACGAAGAACATGGTGAAGAAGATATGCTCAGCAAGGAAGAAAGAAAAAGATAAGAGAAAAGGAAAATAAAAATATCATGTGGATTGCCACGTGTGTGCAATTACCGGTTGACCGGATCTCAACCGGCTGGAAGGCCAATTTGATTAATTTTTACAACTTTGTGTACTTAATTGATTCACTGAAAAGTACGAGGACCTAATTGACTTTTTGACAATAGTACGAGGACCTATTTGACAGTTTTCCCAATAATAAATGTTGTGTGAGGTAGGAAATCTTTCATTTGATAAGTGAAAATCACATTTACCTTGTTGAAATATAAACTACAAAATATAATATTGAAGAGAGGAGGAAAGATTTTCTGTGTATTTCATTGGAGGGTTAAGTCCCTATAAATATACATTACAAAGATAGAATATTCCTATAAGATTCTATACAATAATAATATCCTAGAGTATATTCCTAAAATATTCTAAAGTATATTATAAGGATAGAAGAATATTCTAAAGTATATTCTAAAGTATATTCTAATGTCTTTCACACTCCCCCTCAAGTTGGAGCATAGATATTTATCATGCCCAACTTGTTACATAAATAACCAACACGAATTCCATTTAATGCTTTAATGAACAAATCTCCAAGTTGCTCTCCAGTCTTCACATATCCTGTAGAGATCAATCCTTGTTGTATCTTTTCTCGAACAAAGTGACAATCGACCTCAATATGTTTTGTTCTCTCATGAAACACTGGGTTGTTGGCAATGTGTATAGCAGCTTGGTTATCACACCAGAGTTTAGCAGGCATTGGTGTCTTCAATCCGATTTCACTCAGCAAATGGTTTATCCAGATTATCTCACATGCCGATTGTGCCATAGCCCGATATTCTGATTCAGCACTCGAACGAGAAACCACATTTTGCTTCTTACTTTTCCAAGAGACAAGATTACCACCAACAAAGACGCAATAGCCAGATGTGGATCTCCTATCATCTTTAGATCCAGCCCAATCAGCATCTGCAAAGCATTCTATTCTCATGTGATCATGATTTTGGTAAACAATACCTCGTCCTGGTGTCCCCTTCAAGTAACATAATATATGCTCTACTGCATTCCAATGATCAACTGTCGGAGATGACATATATTGACTCACTACGCTCACAGAGTAAGCAATGTCTGGACGAGTGACTGCGAGATAGTTAAGCTTTCCAACCAATCTTCTGTACCTTTCTGGGTCTTCGAATGGTATGCCTTCTGAAGTGAGTTGCACATTGGGAACCATGGGAGTTGTGTTTGGCTTTGCTCCCAATTTCCCTGTTTCAGTTAGTAAATCAAGTACATATTTACGCTGAGATAGAAATATGCCTTTCTTACTCCGTGTTACCTCAATACCCAGAAAGTATTTCAATGAGCCTAGGTCTTTTGTTTGGAATTGGCTATGAAGAAAATTCTTAAGGGCCAAAATACCTGCGGTATCACTTCCTGTAATCACAATATCATCGACATACACCACAAGCAATGTGATACCTGCTTTCGTTTTTCTGTAAAAGACAGAGTGATCTGATTGACCTTTTATCATTCCAAACCGTTCAATGGATTGACTGAATTTCCCAAACCATGCACGAGGTTGCTCCATATAAACTTCCTCCTGAAGGTCACCATGTAAGAATGCATTTTTAATGTCCAACTGGTGTATGTGCCAATCATGAGTTGCAGCGAGTGAGATAAGTAACCTGACAGATGTTAATTTAGCAACAGGAGAAAGAGTGTCAGAATAATCAACACCATAGGTTTGAGCATAACCCTTTGCAACCAATCGAGCTTTCAATCGAGCAACAGATCCATCTGGATTAACCTTAACAGCAAAGACCCACTTACATCCAATAGACTTCTTCCCTGAAGGCAAGTATACCAAATCCCAAGTACCATTAAGATCCAAAGCATTCATTTCCTCTACCATGGCATGACGCCATTCAGGATGAGACAAAGCTTCTTTAACAGATTTGGGAACAGAAATAGAATCAATGGAAGCAACAAAAGAACATGAGGCAGGAGATAACTGACCGTATGACACAAATGAGGAAATAGGATGAGTACAAGACCGTGTACCTTTACGTAGTGCTATCGGGAGGTCAAGATCAGATGTAGAGACAAGATCTGAAAATGCAGGTACTGGTTCAGGACATGAGATCGAAGTCGGACCAGTATCAGGATATGTAATCACAGGTGTCACAGGTGGGGAGTGATCTTGTGCTTTGTGTCGACGGGTGTAAACCAAGTGTACAGGAGGTCTAGGGTCAGGAACAGTGACATTCGACATAGTTACTGAAGGTGTGGTCTCAGGTATAGTAACTGTGTAAATGAGTATTTCATCGTTGTCCTCATGAATATCTGTCTTGGATGATGAAAATGGTGTATTTTCATGAAATGAGACATCAATAGAAATAAGATATCGACCTGTACTTGGACAAAAACATCTATACCCCTTTTGAACTCGAGAATAACCCAAGAAAATACATTTCAATGACTTGGGGTCCAATTTCGTCCGATGAGGGATAACATCTCTAACAAAACAAGTGCAACCAAATATTTTAGGTGGAATAGGAAAAAGTTCTTTATTTGGAAAAAGACATTGATAAGGAGTTTTACCGTCCAAAACAGAAGATGGCATACGATTGATCAAAAAACATGAAGTAGACACAGCGTCAGCCCAAAACTGTTTAGGCACATTCATTTAAAATAGAAGAGCCCTTGCAGTTTCTAACAGATGTCGATTCTTTCTTTCAGCAACTCCATTTTGAGGAGGTGTGTCTACGCATGAAGTTTGATGAATAATGCCATGTTGAAGCATAAAAGATTTAAATGGAGCAGATAAATATTCTTGGGCATTGTCTCCCCTTAACACACGAAGGGGAACATTAAATTGAGTTTTAATTTCAGCACAAAATGCAGAGAAATGAGTAAATAACTCAGATCGGCGCTTCATAAAATACACCCATGTCATACGAGAATAATCGTCAACAAAAGTGACAAAATATTTGAAACCAGGTTTGGACACAACTGGACATGCCCCCCAAACATCAGTATGGACAAGATCAAACGGAGCATTTGCTCGTTTATGAAGTCGGGGACTTAAACTAGTGCGATGATGTTTAGCAAACTCACACGACTCACATTGTATAGAAGACACCTTATTAAACTGAGGATATAATTGCTTCATTAGTGAGAGAGATGGATGTCCTAATCGGTAATGAGCTTCTAATAGATTTCCAACCCCAAGGCAAGAGATACCTTTTGTAATTGATGTATCCAAAATATAAAGACCACCCGACTCATGTCCTTGACCAATAGTATGCTTCGTTAACAGATCCTGAAACACACAATATCCCGGAAAAAATGTTACAGAACAATTAAGAGTACGTGTGATTTTACTGATGGAAAGCAGATTAAATGCAAAATTAGGAAGACTCAAAACAGACGATAATGGTAATGTAGAAGTTGGTACAACAGTACCAGATCCAAGAACGGGTGAGGTAGACCCGTCTGCTAAAGTGACACTGGAAGCAGGTAAATGTGAGTGAAATGATGAGAATAGACTAGGATTACCAGTCATATGATCTGTGGCACCTGAGTCAATGACCCATTTTGAGGATGATGAAACAAGACATGTGTTTGAAATACCTGAATTTGCGACTACCGAGATAGGGGTAGATGAATGCTTTAGAGATTCTTGGTAGCAAATAAATTTAGCATACTCGTCTGAAGAAATAGCAATTGATCCATCAAATGAACTCGTAGCGGAAGCAACATGAGCAAGCTGATTTCCTTGATTTTTGAACAGCAACTTTCTACATTCTTTGAGCAAGTGCCCGGGCTTCTTGCAGTAATGGCATATTACTCCTCTGCCAAATGGACCCGTAAAAGACATTTTTTTTTATTTTTTATTTTTGATTTTTTTTTTGATTTTTTTTTGATTTTTTTTTTTACTTTTTTTTTTGAGAATAAATAAATAAATACAGCTAATTAAGACTTACCAGCCGCAGCTCAATAGATGGTTGGCGAGGTCTGGGTTTCTGACTTACCAGCTAATGATAGTGGCGACTCCAAAAATATAACGCAGCCCCTTTCTAATTCGAGCCACCTCACCTAGTCTCAAATCCCAACCTTTCTCAATAGTCTGGTACGAATAAATAGACAAAATATATACGCAGCCCCCTTCCAAAAGTATCTGCGTCGCCAACCTCAAGAAGACCGTGGATCCAAAAGCTCGCAGATCGGAAAAATGGATTTGCCTGGCAGAGAATACTCAGGCAACCTAGATGGCGATTTCCGATTAGAAATCCGGTCAGCTATGAAGCTTCACTCGCCGGCGCGTGCGGCAGCCGCGAAAGTCTTCGGCGGCGCGTGTGACTGACGCGCGAAGCTTTGCCGGTGCGGACTCAAAAGACGTGGTCGGCGGCGGCAAGTGCAATTGGTTAGGACGGAGGTGAGAAATAGGACGGTGTTGGTCTGGACAAAGGTTCTGGTTAGGGTGTATTGATGTTTTGGAATGAGGGTCTGGACAGAGGTTCTGTTTAATGGTGTGTAGAGGTTCTGTAGGCAGAATGGTGTGTAAGGTTCTGAAAATGGTGTGTAAGGTTCTGAAGTTAACACAAGTTCTTGGAGAAAGAACCCAGCCTGAATACTGAACTGAAATCAGCCTGAATAAAGAACTGAAATCTGAAAAACTAAACTGAAATGGAAGGCTCTGATGCCATGTTGAAATATAAACTACAAAATATAATATTGAAGAGAGGAGGAAAGATTTTCTGTGTATTTCATTGGAGGGTTAAGTCCCTATAAATATACATTACAAAGATAGAATATTCCTATAAGATTCTATACAATAATAATATCCTAGAGTATATTCCTAAAATATTCTAAAGTATATTCTAAGGATAGAAGAATATTCTAAAGTATATTCTAAAGTATATTCTAATGTCTTTCACATACCTTAAGCACGACTTCATGTTTCTAAGATGATGCCATGGGGATGTTACTAAATCAAGACAACTGCATACCTGTAGATGATGTTTCACCAAAAGCTTGTGAATGGATGGAATGAAAATAGTGAAATCTTCCCCAAGAGCGTGAGCTAAACAACAAAGTGCATCAACAGCATCCCTCCTAAGCTCTTCTTTGTTGCTGAGAATAAGACAGTAGTGTCACAGAATGGCTTGGAGAAAGATACAGGAAATGGTAATAACAAAGACAAATAAAAATGATGTATACAACTGTTATTATGCCATTGACAAATAAAAATTATGTAAACTGATTATACAGGCCCGTCATCTGACTTGAGAGCGAAGTGGAAGGAGAATATATGTGTGGAGGATTGATCTCTTTTTATTTTTTAACTCTGATTTCATATGTCGATTCATGTTAACGGACCCAAAACTCTTTTGGGACTAAGGCTAGGACATTGTTTTTTATACAGGCCATCACAACTTCTTGATGCAAAAGACACTTTTCAGGTTTAATTTAGTTTAACGTGCAGCTGGAAATCAAGAGAAAGGGATTGAATCAAACCCATCCAGGACAAGCTTTAGGTGATGTACGAGAGCAGATATGTGACCAATGACCTGGTGAAGAATATACATATATGATGAAGAAACAAGAGTTGAGAAAAATAGATCTACATAGGTTTAACTAAACTAAGACCAACCTGTACACGAGGAATTAATCTTGTTAGAGTTTTTATAGCACCGCGTCTTACTTCTACTGAAGCATCTACTTTAAACAAACGAATAAGAGCAGGAAGAAGAAGATGCATATGTTCATCCAGCGTACCTGCAAACACAGGGCATGGAAGCGTCAAGCATATCTATTACACAACTGACTTAATGAGTATTGACTCGACATATATGTCCACATCGAGTCATCGACATTCAATATTTCAATGGCACTGACCGAACAAAAGGCATTTATTACAAGAAACTAGGAATACTAACCACCAAAAACTTCGAGTGTGTGAAGAATGTTAGGGACATATTCATACTCATTAAACCGCTCAGCATCACTAAGAAACTGAATACAAGAGGGAAGTATATGTGGAAGATGCTTTCGGAATTCATCATTTAGTGCCAAACAAAGTTGCTCCACCAGATGCAGAATCTTAAAAGAATTAAAACAATATCAGTTTACAGCAATTGCAAAAAAAATGCTCAACATCAACCCAAGACATTAAAAAGGTACGTATTAATTTCATCATAAAAAATTCAACCATATTTACCGCAGAAATATGAACTGGCCGATTAGCTGTTGGCGAACAGAAAGATGACCATAATTCTGAAACCAGAGTAAGCATCTCTGGAAGATATTTACGGACATGCTACAAAGACAAAAGATAAGTTGAACCATCTCAATGTACTGCAAAAGAAGAATGAAATATACTACGTACATATTATGCCCTTGTGAGAAAAAGTACCTGGCGAACAATTGATACCAGAGTTCCAAGCTTCCATGTTATAAACTCCTTTAAACCATCTTCACATGTACGGACAATATTAAAGAGTTCAGGCAAAACCTACATAAGAAATGCACAATTATCAAAGTCACATACATGGCAAATTTGAGCACCAAAACTACTATGTAAGTCCTGCAATAGAAAACCTAGTTAACAGACTTCTGACTCTAAATTCAGGTTATAGAGAATCTTTATATGATTTATCACTTATGTCAATTTTGTTGTGGAGAGTAAGTTCACCCAAGCTAACTACAAAGGAGGTCCATCACACTCTTACATTCACTTCAACAAATTAATTGGGGGCTTAAATGAGAGGATACCGTCTTCTTATGTTGTTGGAGTCGATTGTGTGGCTCAGCTTGGGTGCATAGTAGATTTATTTTTTTGTGAAATACCTTTTTTTACTATTTAGATTAAAAAAAAAGTTGCAATAAAATTGAGTTTGGGGTATAAGGAGGTCATAAAACTGGCATGAATAAAAATAAAAAAACCTGTGTCTAGAGTTGACAGAACTAACCTTTGGCAAATAAGGGACACAGCCAAGTCCCATTGACTGTCCATAAGAAGGTACCAAAGAAATGAGTTTCATAATAAAAATACATAAAAATATATTATTTAATAAGAAAAACAATAAGAGTTCTGTCTAAGTAAACCTTGAAAATGAACATGAGAGATCCAACAACTTTTTGGTGGTAACTAGACAAAGAAGGGTCCCTTAGAATCCGCATAAGAGAACTGATAGCAACCTATAGCAGAAGAAGCCTGTTAAAACATGTAAGCGATTAATGATAAAACAAAATAGCTCTCAGTTAAGGTGCCACCGTAGAGTAATAATCTTCTGATGTTGCAAAAGACGGCCAAAGATCCATAGGTAATTCATCCATTGAACAAATATGTTGGCCAGGGTCATTAGCTGCACGGGTAACTTCACCATGTGTTCCAGGTAATGTTTGCTGATTGCGTTTGTGCACATGGGGATCTAATGCACCCATTATCCCAAGAACCTGACATGCACAACAAGAGCTATTGAACACCAAGATCTAGTTAAAACAATACACGCATTCAAAGAAGTTCAGAGGCTACCTTCAAAACTTCACGTCTAGTAGACCAGGCTAGTTCTCCATTTAGCAATTTTAAGAGTAAACCAAGCAATTGTGGGTATTCATTGTATGGAGCTATCACATAACTGTTAACCATGCATGAAAATATGATCATATGATCCTGGAAATTCTCTTACAGTTGAACAATATCAGTTTTAAAATTTTAAACTGAACTAACTACCAATAGGTTATCGATAATTCTAATATCAGCTACGTTTCCTCATATATAAAAACCCTCTTGAACACAAACAAATAAGAGAGCACATTACATATATGCAGGGATATGTATTAAGGATTTTATTATTTGGACTGAAATTTTCCGGTCTGATCTGGTCTATTTAAGTTTGGTGAGGTCTGAACTGGTCTGGTAGATGTCTGGTCTCTGTGTATTTTATAAATGTCAAAGTATGGTCTGGTCTGGGACTAAAAACAGTCCAAGAAAAAACATCCTCAATCACATATGATTCTAGTAGCACACCTCCCCAGTGACTAGGTGTTTCAATTATTTGTAAGATCCTTCCATATTCTGCTATAAGAATAAGAGGCATGTGCCTAACACTATAATCATCATGGTTGGGAATGACCTATCAACTTCAATTGCTTCCTTGCTCAACTTTCAATACGGTTAAAGACATAACTCATTTACTCATCTTTATCCTTAAGAAACTCTCCATTAAAGTGTTTATCCTCATATACATTTCCCATAAATAATCTCAAAACCCGATCTACATGTGAACCTCATTTGGAAGGGATGCAATCTCCATGTTTTATCAAATTAAATCCTTTGAGTGGCCTAACCCAACCCCCCATCTAACACACAATGTGAATCACTTTCACATTCTGAGAACTTTCCCAATTCTCTATAGTTTGTCTACTTTTTCTAATTTGAAAATTGGACTCACTTGCTGGGCCTTCAATTCATGTGGTAATGTCACAAGTCACAAGCGGCATTTTCTTCTCTCCGCTTTTTACAAATATAGTCCTCATTATCTTTCATATCAGGTAGCCAACTGCATCCTGATTTCTCAACTTAACTTTACTATTTAAAACTCACGTAAAATGGTTGGCTACTGTCACATTGTACTAGCATAGAGTTAAGGTAAGTGACAGCCTCAAATGCACAACATACCAGGGCACAGTCTTTGAATAGTTTGGAAGGACATATAGTATACATATAGAATGGTCATAGCATAGCATACCCTGTGCTTTGTACAACCTGACCAAGTGTAGCAACAGCAACTTCACGTTTAGTAGCAGCAGCGCCATCCAGTAAAGCATCAACAATTAGGGGCATAAGTTCTGAAATATATTGCCTCATGGCAAAGCCACCCTGAAAATTGGGGTGTGAGTGACAAGGAAGATAGAGAGTTTGTGAGTGATTCAGGTTGATGGAGAAAATCATCAACAGTTTTTCATGAAAGATATAAGATACCTTAAACGTAAGTGATAATTAATACATCTGAAATGATAATTAAATGTATGATCAAAAAAGTTAAATTGCAAAAGCAATTTAGCTCGCACCTACCGAAACTTCAAATTTACCTTGGTTCTATAAATAAAGTACATAAGTTTATAGTTTTATAGCATAAATGAGAAAAGCAAAATATACTGCCTCTGCTTTCCAGTCCGGATACCAGACCAAACAGAGGTATGTTATGTCAAATGTAGATTACTGCTACGTATTAAATATCAACCTACCACTCTTGAAAGATCGCCAACAGTTACCAGAACACCACTAATAATACCGTTGTTTGCATTGACCCCAGTTCCTTCACAGAGTTTGGCAACAAGTGCCTGGGAAACAGGGAATCATGACAGTCAGATATAATAAAGTACAAAATATAACTTTCTTATCAAGTTTCTTATGAGCATGAATGGTTAACCTTGTGTATAGGAGCAATATATGGAAGAACCAGACGCTCACAACTGCGGATTAGGCAACCCAATAACTTTGCACTCTCTTCCTTGCATTTGTTATCAGCACTGCAATATAAGATAGACTTTATAAGAACAATCAGATGGTTCGAAACAGACAAGGCATATTTATATTTCAGTGTCTGTGTCCCTTCTAGCATTTCATGTTACCATCACCAGGGCCAGCCTTGCCCATGTGCAACAGGTGCAAGGGAACAGGGGCGCCTTTCCAAGTGGGGCCTCCATATTTTATTAACATAGTAGTAGTAGGGCCATTAAAAATGTTATTCAAATGTGTTTCAACAGTTCGGCAGACTTTTCAACTTCAGGTGGAATTGCATAGGGATTATGAAGAGCCGAAAAGTGAATATATCATGAACAAATTTTGAAAGTTTCATGAAACAAAAAATATCCAAATCTTTGGAGAAAAGAAAGAAAGTTGCTTAGACCAATCCATAGTGATTAGTATTAAATAAGACAAAGAAACTACATACTATTCAACTTAAGAGTATCCTATAAGATAGTCAAGTACTCTAAAGGCTAAAGCTTCAAATCATTATCTAACCTTTGTTCTAGGTATGTTAGCAACTGAATAAGATGTCGACGGAGTGCTGGTAGAACGTAAGCAGGGTTCTTCTCAGATAACCTCCCAACGAGATAGATTGCGTACTCCCTAACTTCAAAGTCCTAGGCAAAAACAAATGCAAAAGGTAAAGACTAAACTGAAGCACCCAGATCCATGGCAGAAAAATAAACTAGGCAGTATATCCAAACTTGGACAGAAGACTCCAAGATAAACAGGTTTCTCAATTCAACCTAATGCACCCTCTCGAACTTTCATGGATAATTTGCATTACAATTATGCATGAACCTTCATATTCAACATGTTTTTGCAAATTTTATCAGCTCATATTGAGAACAACATCCCAAGCAAATAAATTCTAAGCCACTCAAATTATTAAAAAAAGACACACCAATGTGTGTGCTGTGCTCACAACCGCGCAAGCCCGAGGGTGTGTGTTTCATATCATGAACTATATGTACACACAATGACACAAGTCCAACACTGAACATCTCATCGGTGTGCCGCACAAGGAGAATAATTGTTACATACTCACAAGTGGCACACACTACATTAAAGTGTTAAACAATATGAAATAATAACATTAACACGAAGGGTTTTTTAAGCCAAGGGCAAGGCAAAAATAAAGCATAAAGATGTCTTCCATTTCCGGAAGATAGTGAAATTGGTTTTTTGGTCAATTCGCTTGAAAGTAAGAAAGACCTGTAACTGAAAATGTAATGGTGAAAAATTTGCACAAAATTCAAGATCATAAAAATATCATTTTGTGTGAAACTGGATAGTACCTCATCATTCAGAGCAGCAAATATAGCAGTCAGACTATCAGCCTGAGCCAGATAATCATCAAAACCTCCATTTCCATAAAGAGAAGAAAAAATAGAATGACGGACAGTGACTTCGGCATCAGCAACAGCTGCTATAAGCAGTTTTTCAACAATCTGCAACAAAAGCAGCCTTATGAAGTAAGATAACTTTTACAAATGGATCAGGTAGTACACTGCACACTAGTCAAATTTGGTTTTTGTTCATCACCACATAACTATTCCAGATAATATTAAATATAAGTCTTATACAAGGTTGTCAAAGTCGTGCGCCTGAGCGCTTAAGCGCACCAGGCGCAGCGCTAGAGAGGTCCAGCGCCCTATGGATGGCCAGTCGCAGCTTCCCTTCTCAGGCGCAGGTTAGGCGCACAAAGCGCAGAAGCGCAGATGCGATATAAAGCGATCGCTGAATGCGCCTGACAGGGGAATCATTTATTTTAAGTTTAATTAGGTTGTTTCACATATTAAGAAGCCCATATTTTTAATAAAGCCCATGCAAATAAGGTCAAAACAATGTAACTTACGCTAAACACACAACGTAATTACATAAACCTACTGTTACATGTTCGCTACCTCGTCCTGTCCCTCCACATCAACCGCAAAGCTTGCAGCAGTGCAGCACTCAACGTTCAAAGTAAACTCTCTCTTTCTTCATCTTCCATTCATTCCATTTTATTTCTTTTTTCATTTTTCAGCAGCTACTTCTTCTTACAAACTACCAGTATTTTTTCAGCATGTATATGTAAAGTGTAAAGTACCAGCTTCTTCTTCCTGTACTCTATGTCTCTATAGAACTCCTGTTCTACATTCTAAACAACTTAAACATATATATGTAAACTACCAGTATATTTTTTCACCATGTATATGTAAACTAACAGCTACTTCTTCTTGTACTCTGTAGAATTCTTGTTTATATGTCTCAGTTAGTCAATTCTACAGTCTAAACAACTTAAACATATATATGTAAACTACCAGTATATCTTTTCACCATGTACATGTAAACTAACAGCTACTTCTTCTTGTACACTATAGAACTCTTGTTTATATGTCTCAGTTAGTCAATTCTACAGTCTAAACAAGTAAACAACTTAAACATATATATGTAAACTAGTTGTATTACTTGTATACTTGTATTTTTTTACCATGTATAAGTAAACTACCAGCTACTTCTTGGAGAAGTACATACTACCAGTATACATACTATTTAGAACATACTACCAAACTACCCTTTTTTTACCATGTATACATACTAACAGTCCATACTACCAAACTACCATTTTTTTACCATGTATACATACTACCAGTCCATTTTTTGTGACATGGGTTGCTGTATATATACTTTATTTTGGTTAATCGTGGCTTTATTTTGGTTAATGGTGACTTTATTTGATCAAGACATGACTTTTTAATGTAGTTGGTTCAATATGGTGTTATATACATCATTCTTGATTATTGGAGAATAGTATTTGCGATATTTTCTTAGCAATGCGCCTGACATGAGTCAGGCGAGCGCTTTTTTGCGCCTTGCGCCTCAGGCGCTGGAATTACCCTATCGCCTTGAGTGCGCCTCACGACTTTGACTACCTTGGTCTTATATTAAACCAAAAAACCTTACAAGTATATATAAATCATATAAATTATGATAAATCATGCATAAAAATAAAATTGAGACATGTATATGTATTAAATAGCTAGTTATAACAATAAGTATGTATATGTGTAAATAGCACTCTCTCCATATCTTGTTTCCGATTAGAACCATGACCATATCTATGTTATATCATGTCCTTCTATCTATGTGCCATACATGTGATATGCAAGCTAGTCTATCAATTTTAAGATCAAACTCATATGAAGGACAAGCCTGGGTAACTAGAGCCAAAACCTCTTCAACAAGACGGCGTCGCCTGCCACTGGTACGGTTAATCCTACTAGAGCTGAACTGTGTGCAAGAGAACCCAGATAAAGAATTTGATACCAATTTACAGCAACACAAAGCGGCATCTTTCCTTGTTCCTCCATCTTCATCTTCCAAATATAACACGACAGACACTTTCGCAAATTCAAGAAGATCATGGCCCTAGGATATAGGCCCTCGCGGTTAGAAAAAAGTGTTGAAGGAAACACGCAACACACTGACACGCACAAGTAGGTAGATGAACCTTGAAGTTGAACCTAGCAAGAGTTTGCAAAGCAAGTTGAACAAGAGCTGAACCACTAAGCTCTGGCACTTGTTGAGTGGCGTTTGTGATGTGTCCCCTACCCGAGGTCACTGCAAGGTTTGACAGATGGGATCTTGAAAGGATTGTTGAAATGCAGTTGATCAACCGATCTTGAATTGTGGGCAACAATGTTGGTATGCTGAGAAAAAAATGCAAAAACAAAACCCTTGAGCATGTCTACAAAAGAATAAGAATATATTTGCAAATGCATCCCTTTGCTAAATACCTTAAGCTTATCTTATCCAGGGCTTCTACCAATTTAAGCGAAAGACCAGAAGAGAACATGGCATCCAAGAGACCTCGGACATGAGGCTCCATCACAGGCCCCATGGCTTTTGCAATATTTCCAACACAATCTATTGCATCCATTGAAGGCCTGCCTCTACGAGGTGCAATCTACAAGGAGAACAAAGATCCATTATGAATAAAATTAAAAACTTCATGCCACAGCATTTAAGTGAGAATGAAAGAAAATGAAAAAAATGTATAGACAGAGAGAGACGGAGAGAGAATCAGTGGAGGACCTAGGGGGTCGTGGGGGAAAGTGCCCCGCTTTCGTGTTAGTACTATTGCTCCATTATTAGTTTTACACCACCCCTCATAAAATGAAGTTCTCATTTGAGTTTACGATGTTTAATAGAGGACAAAGTAAAGTTTTCCCTAATAAAATTTCAAAAATTATAAGAGCCCGTTTGGTGAGCATGTTTTTGAACTTATCAAGCTTATGCAACTTTTTCACCAAACACGTAACTTTTAATTTCACGCGCTGAATTATGTAATAATAAGAGAAAGTAAGGTTAAAGTTACTTTTCTGGATGTATTGACTAAAGTTACCGTAAAAGATCATTCTAGCTATTTTTCATATAATTTTTTCTTTATTTTATTAATAGAATATATTTTAAATATAATTTTTACATAAATCAGCAGAATCAGCCAATCCGCCGATTTTGGTATAACCAAACGGGGCTCTGAATAAATCAAATTTACACATTTAGATATTACAATAAAGTAATACACCGCAACACAGAAAACAAGCATTACAATAATAATAATTTTGACATAACTACATTCTAGATTTGTATCAAATTAACAGTTCCATGAAAAATATTTCGAGTTAAAAATAGCTTCTACACTTGGGATGTTTTTAATTGAATTAAAATTTCCTGGTCTGGTCTACTCTGAACTGGTCTAGTAGATGTTTGTTCAATGTGTATTTTACAATTGTTGAAGTCAAGTCTAGTCTGTTTAAGTCTGGGATTGAAATCATTCTAATTAAAAACGTCCTTATTAATAATGGATTTGGCTTGAATTCGATGGCATGCCAAATTCATGCCAAAACGCATTCCAGAGTTGTTTTGTCACAAACAAATAGCACAAAGTGACAAAAATAATGTTAATTTGTAACAAATCTATATCAAAAATGTTTTTTGTATTGGAATATGATAATAGTTCAATACTCCCTCCGTCCCATAAAATTCTTCTCACTTACCATTTTGAGATGTGCCAAAACATCTTCCCATTTGGAAAGTTTTGTGTGGCTAACACCCGTTTACATTTTTCTTACTCAACCACAACCATACATTTCTACTTTATTCCTACTTTCTTAAACTCTGATCCAAGTCAAACTGGAAGAATTTTATGGGACGGAGGGAGTATATAATATCAGCTATTGAAATGGACGGCAGGAAGAGTACACCTGAATTGAACTTCATTCGGGGGTATGGTAGTATTACATTTCCAAATTGTACAAACAGAGTTTGGCCGGTGACATGTAGAGTTGGAGCAGTCCTATTTGTGTGCCTCTACACAAATCTTAATTATTATAGTATGAAATATTACTGGAATTTTAATCCGAAATAAAAAATTAGTGCAAGGATGGTCAGGTTCTTGCAAGTCTATACATAGGGCAATATTGAAGAGTTTAGTCCTCAACTGTCCAAATGGGTGTAAAACCAGACCTAGAACAGGTAAATGTACATGGACCGCATCTGAAATTGGCTAACTCAGTTCTGGTTTAAAAAATTAATTTGGATGCCTCGGCCAAGTGAGCCAACTAGAATCGGACCAGATGTCTCCTGTCCATCCGCGAACCCCCTTCGAAAAAATCTGAGTCCGCCACTGGAGAACAATCAAAGGAGAAGATAATAAACACTTGTGATCATTACATACCGCATCACGTAGGTGCGATGTTATTGTCGGCAAATAGTTAATGAGTTCTCCATCTAGAGCACCAGCCATCTCTCCAAGAGCTATGAATCCACTGTCCCGTTCTGCAGGTATTTTGAGCACATGGAGTATGTGATTCATACATATCTGCAAATAAAAAGGGGCAGCCCGGTGTGATGTTAGCGTAGAGGAAGAAAAATATGTCTTGCTAATATTCTTCCAAATAATGAAAAACAGACATCATTGGATGAAAGTGAACGGAAAGATGAAAACCGTTAAATAATTCGTCACAAATCGATCTCGTAGGAAATGGGCGATTCGAGGCAACAGAGAAGTAATGCTGAGTCGAACAAGTCGATCCTTGTGCTCCAGGTATCTAAGAACTATCTCAGCAACTTCTCTGTATCTTGACATCATGAATTCGCCGGTGTTCCTGTCATTTGATACAAAGTTATATAGCTATAGAAACATAGCCAGATATTAATATAGTATCACAGTAGTATTTCCTAGCAGCGAAAAAAATATTCGCAACTATAAAAAATCCTAATTAACCTCAAAAGCTCTCCAACTGCAAGCAGAGACCCGTGAATGCTATGGATGGGAGCATTTCTCCCTAATCCATCTTGTGTAGCTTCAAACATACGGTAGTACCTTAAGAGAAAGTGAATACGAAGACAAATGGTTAACATGTTTATGTCTTATTCATAAGACAACAAAATAAACATAAACTAAATACTAACCACTGCACACGCCAGCGAGTCTCACGCTTTTCAATAACACGGAGGCATGCACGTAATGCTTCAACAGCTCGCTCTCGAACAGCAAGCGTTGGGTCTCTAAGTGCAACCCAAATTGCATCCACAAACTCAGGTACGTGAACGTTAAATACAGTTGAAGCATTTTCGGCCATTTCCTATATTAAAGACAAATACCTTTTATAAAAACCTTTTCCATCAAACGCTAACATACTATGCATATGTACGCACAGGCAATACACTAACCAACGGGCTACAAATCTACAATGCTACATGAAGCAAAATGAAGTGTGGCAAAGACCTCATAGATTTGAAATAAGACAAACAGTTACCAAATTAGGCATGAATAAAGTGCATTATGCTTATGACATCATACAAATGATTCCCTATCAAGTGCAGGCTCTACTGCACTGGAATACGATTCAACTGCTACTAGAATGAAAACAGGAAATGGAATTTCATACTTTCATAGAAAACATCTGTTCATATAAGCAATAAACAGGAAGTAAAGCTCTATTTACTTCAAACTTCAGTTAAAATATAATAATAGTAATATATTTTATATATGTCATATAATAATCATAGTTTTGGCAGTATTATAGTTTCCTATTACGGTTAGTTCTAAGGTTTAGTTTTAATATTCTTAGTGCACTTAGGTCCATTGGTACTCTATATAAGCATTGAAATATGCTCTAGAAACTCAAGTTTTAAATTCAAAGTTGTGTCAATAAAACAGTAGTCTATTATTCAATATGGTATCAAAATGACTTTACTACATTAATGAAAAGTCACAACATCCTTTTTACCGATTCCACTTTAGATCTGAACCATTTCAGGTTAAATATTTAACAAAACTGACCGCATTAGACCCCTCAGAATACCCTTTTGACTCTATCCCGCAAAAACGACTTCAGTCTCGCACAGCACGCTTGAGTGAACTTCCGGCAATGCGCCTGCAGCCGCCATCCTTACGACCTTTCTCGGCCAGATTTTACAATGTTATTCTCATTTGAAACAGTCCATTTGATTTTTTCAAATTTTGAAGTCCAATTTAATCCTCCAAGAAGGTGCTGGATATCATTTCAATGACAAAAGCTCAAGAAGAAGGTGCTGGAAGAGCAGGAGGAATATGCTATTGCATCCACTCAAAGCAAAGTTACAGTTTATTTGAAATCAAGTTGAATCAGTAAAAGGTTGAGTATAGATGCTCACATGGGCACCAGTTCACTTCAAGAAGAGTTCGAATGATGTTCAAGTTTCTTTGAAAGTTTAAATTTCTGTAGCCAACTTGGAGCAAGTGACACCTCAAATTGAAGTGTTAAATATAGAAATAGTAATATAGGTATCATAGTTTTGCTACTAGTAGTAGTATTCCTATCTTGGTTAGTTTTAAAGTTTAGGTTTCATATTCCACTAGGTTTAAGTCCATTAGGTCTCTATATAACTATATAAACATCATACTACACTAGGAATTATCAAGTTGTGAGTTCAAATTTAAAAGCAATATCAACAAAATTATTAGTGTACTACTGTTAGATTATTACTCCGTATTATTATATTATTATTACTCATCACTTGAAAGTACATGTTCAATGATTTCAAACAACATGTACTACATAGCTAACACTGTTTATATAAACTCACAAAAATACGAACTACAGTTCTTCTCCAAATAGAAGTTTCTAGGATTTTAATATTTCCATAGGATATGCACATTAAACATTAGAAAATAATCAAACATACTTTCAAGATAAGTACAGCAGCAAAGCGGCGATACTCGATTCTCTCACCAGTGAGCCACTGAAGTGCATTTTTCACCTGAAACAGCAAATAGATTAGATTCTAGAACCCCAGAATTGTAAAGACAGGATACATTGAATGCACCTGGCATTCCACTTCATCAGCTGTCATTGCACCACCAGCCCTAGCTAGGTGGCCCAAAACTTCACTAGCAAGGACCAGAATTTCAGGATCACGCTTCACTTCAAATACAGTTCGCATGTAACTAGAAAACTTTGCAACTTTTGACGCATTTTCACCAATAGTGACATCAATTAACTCATTTATAGCCCTTAATGCACCCAAGTTTTCAGCAACCTCATTACTCTCAAGAAGGTTAGTAATACGCTCATAGAGATGATCTGTAAATCGTGCATCTCCACTAACATCACGAGCTTCTTCCTCAACAAGACGCCTTAAAGCTAGTGCAGCCCCATCCTGTGTATAAAACATATCAGATAAAGAACTCGCAGAATATCTGAAACACATGATAGGGATTTTACAGCAGTACTTGCAATGTATCTGAGAACTCCAAGAAGGACATAAACAACAGAACTGAGAAGGATAACTTTGAAATATCATGTCAAAAGCATAATAATGATTACATTATGACCCAGTGAGCCACATCCATTTTAAACAACGAAACTAACATAAAAACTTGCAAAGCACTCAAAAAAGAGTTGATAATAATTGTGTGTGTAAATAGAACATTTTTTCAGCAAAAAAAAACATCGAGGAACTGCATACAAAAATTATATTCTCTCCTTTGGCGGCGTTTTACTCCTAATTTAGGAGAAGTCTTGATTTTCTATAGCACACTGTAATTCTAGATGAGACACATATTTAAAGAGAAGTTATAGTAGTATTAATTTTACCTTGGGACTGCCTCTGGTGCAGAGATCAGAGAGTACTTTGTGGAGAGCATCCAGACTGCCGGCGCCGGTAGAGGCAACTGAGTGACGGATGGACTGTGAGGTGCCCGCCATAGCCATACACTGTCACTCTGTTCTACATCTTTCTATGCCCCATAATGGCCAAAAGAGAGCCACAACCCAACACGCCAGTCTTGAATAGCATTTAATTTTCGTAGAGCGAGGACTTGATATTTGAGCCCTAGAGTTAAATATAGATCTATTAAACAAAACAAAAGAAATTTGACTTAAAATTTTCGTCAAAGTTCACAGCACACCTATTTTCAAAAAAAAAAGTTTCAATCTTGATTGTTGTTCAGTATGATTTCCAGCACGTACCCGACTTCCGATTCTTAGCCTCTGCTTGATGCCTGGATATGGATATAGTTTGAAAATGAACAACTGAATTAGCAATTTACTCCGTATAAATTTAGCAGAAATTCTGTGTGGAGATTAATGAATGCTAGATGTATCAAATAGTAGTAATAATAATACGGAGTACGTAGTATGAGGCGTGAAAATGTTCATTAATTCGGAATTACGGAGTTTAAAAATGGTTCCCTCGAAATGGAGAATTTCAGAAGAATAATGGAAATTTGTTTTTTACCTTATTAAATAGGGGAAGTTCCCGAAATAGGACTAAAACAGTTTGACAATTCCAAAATAGGACTGTCATGTTTTTTATTCCCAAAATAGGAGTAATTAATGTCAAGTTTGAAAAATGTTGTCATGTTTGAAGTCTGGTACTGCCAAAACATGACAGTAATTAGTCCTATTTTGGGAATAAAAACATGACAGTCCTATTTTGGAATTTTCAAACCTTTTTAGTCTTATTTCGGGTAATATCTCTATTAAATAATGGAAATAAGATCAAGTGCTTTGACGGAGATCACAACTTCTAGTTTCATTTCAATCAAAGATGTTAATATTGTCTTAATCATATACTATAATAGGTTAATTAGGTTTAGATGAATATACAAACATGGAAATAGGTAAAATTGCCTAAAAACTTATAGCGATTATCGAGACTTTCTTAAATATGACTAAGTAAAAGCTCAATTGCAACAATAGGAGCTTAATATTTAAATTCCTAAAATATGACTCACTTTTCCTATTCTACTTCTCCCTTGTGATTCTTAACATGATTTCTTAAATAATACAGTAATAAAACATAAAAAAATAAAAAAATAAAAAAATAAAAAATAAATAAAAAATATACAAGCATCAACCACCACCTCGGTCACTTTCCAGCACCAACTCCTCCAGTCGCCGGGAAAGAATGTCAAGTTGAAAAAAATGTCATCCTGATGGCAATTTTGAAAAGAAAGTTGAATATTTTTAAAGAGTAAATTAAATGTCATCTTCATGCCATTTCTGAGTGGAATGTGGCATTTTTTTATACAAGATGACATTTTTCAACAATCAGAGCTGGTGGTTCTTGGGGTGGAGGATGTGGAGGTAGTGGCCTACATATTTTTAATATTTTTTAGGTATTTTATTTTAATTAATTCGATATTTTAAGTTTTTAAAATATTTTTTATAGTATTTTTCTGCTTTTATTATTTTATTTTTATTTTTCCTTAATTTATTATTAATTTATAAAAAAATTACGATTTTTAAGTTTTTTCTTTTTATTATAAATAAACTATGATTTTTAATAAATAAATTTATTAGAAATTATATGAATTGAAGGGAGTAGAATTTATGTTGTCAAAATCGGGCCGGGAGGCGATCCGGACAAGCTACCGGGTCACGTGTCAACCAGGAGGTCCAGGACCGGGAGGGTCAGCCCGATCAACGCCGGGTCAACCCGGTCAACGGTTATTGAAAAATAAAATATATAAATGTACCTAATTAAATATTTGATTTAAGTTGTATGACAAAAAAATATTCTCATTCAAAATTTAATAATAGTTATAAGATTAAATTAAAATTTGATGTACCAATACATAAATATTTCACAAAATTAAAGATGTATTTGCAATTAGATGGAAAATATTAGAACATAATATTTATTATTTATATAAGATTACAACTGTGATGGCTAGATGTAGTAGATATTTAATAAATACTCCATTGAGTGCCTATATCGTACAACCGGCTGTACGGTGAGCACCGTACAGCCGGCCCAACAAGGAAAGTAACAGGCCCAAGGAAAAAATGGCAAAATAATTCGGTGGTATTTTTGTAATTAATGTGAAAATCGCGGTTTGTGTTAAATGAGCATTAGTATACTGTTAATGAGCAATAGTCCAATTTTAATGAGCACCGTGTTAGTACAAGAAAGATGATATCACAACTAAAAAACGGTGTCATTTTCGTAATATCAGTGAAAATTGCCATTATCGTTAGATGAGCATTGATACACTTTTAATGAGCATCAAACGTATTCTATTGAGCATTACGAGTCGAATAATGAGTATTGCGATATCAATTTCATATATTGTAATTCACTTTCTTTTTCTTATTTTTTCTTTTATAAATACTTATTAAATTATATTTATAATCAACTCCTATGAACTTCAATATGCAAAACTAATGTAATATGGCACTTTTGAAATATGCATTGATATGACATTTTAAAAATGAGCATAACATCAGTTCCAATTGAGCATATGTAATATATAAAATGATTATTGATATGAAACTCGTAAGTTTTTTTAGTTGACCATAAATACATTTAAATTGGGTATCAAATCTCCTCTATTGAGTATTAGAATCATGTGGTTGAGCATCATTATCTGAGCTCCTGCATCTATAATCAAGTCTTATGTTAAAATATAATGAGCAGAACATCTGTACCAAATGAGCATATACAATTTACAAAATGAGTATCGGGAAAACCAAAAACTCATTTGTGTATATTCATTCAGTTTAGGCGTTATACTCATTTGAGTTTAAAATAAAACTCATTTGTAATATGTTCTATATTCATAAACAACTGATGATCAATAAGTGTCGTCCCCAATGACTCTTGCAACAAAAACGCTAAACTCGATCAATGAGTCTAGCTCTTATTTTGAATTAAATTAGATAGAGCTTCAATTATTTGGAGATAAGTCTGTAGAAGCTAAGTAGAAATTTTGATGGTTAGCTTCATGATTGTGATGTAATTGCTTGAGGTTTTTTCGTGAGATGGCTGAGAAAGTTGGACACCACTATATTGGATTATCGGCGGCTGCCTTTAATTTCCCTTCATTTGTTCATTCGAATTGTAAATTCTACAGAATGGTTTCTCAAGCTACTTCCGGCACGTGAAGGGAAAGGGAGCAATCGAACTTCGAATTGGAAGAAACGAGATTTCAGCGAATTAATAACTGCCGTCCTTCGCCAGTGAGTTGCTGTGATACGATTTGATTACAAAAATGTCCGGCTGTACGGTGCTCACCGTACAGCCGGCTGTACGGTATAATTTAATACCACGTATAATGATAGCTATAGCCATAAAAATGGTTATTATTATGATTATGAATTAATAACTCAAATTGGTACGGTACTACCTCCGTCCCGGTGGACTTTGCCAAGTGCAAAGTAGGTGAGAAATAAGAATAGTAAAAACTGTGTGGTTGAGATTTGTGCAAAGGAGAGAGAAATGTGCAGAACCACAAATTAGTTACTTTAATAGGAAAGCGGCAAAATTTTTTGGGACAATCAAAAAGGGAAAGTTGGCAAAGTTCTATGAGACGGAGGGAGTATAATATAAAAACAAAGAATGAAAGCAAGTACTTGAAACCCAAGTAGCCTAGCTGGTTGGGCGTACGCAAGGTTTCGCTGGGGACTTGGGTTTGAAACCCCTGTGGAGCAGCAATTTTCTTATTATATTCGCGGGCCTCCGGGTTTTTCGGGTTTTGGGCGGTCCGGGTCCATCACGTGTTCGTTCTATTTTTTGAATCACGGTCAACCATGAAGGTCAAGAACCTGTCCATTCCGATTGTTAAACTAGGTAAGCCTATTGTTCAAAAAATCGATCTAGATGTTCGGACTAGTCACCGCCTAGACTAGGCAGTGGCCGGGCGCCCCAATTTTAGTCTAGGCGCTCCGACTAATTGATTTGGCACCTAGGTGAACTAGTACGTCACCTAGAGCGCCTAGTTGCCCGTCCAGAGCGCTTAGTCGGCCGCCTAGACGTCTAGATTCGTCGACCTTTTTCTTTTGTTTTTTTCATTTTAGTATTCTACTCATTTTTTTGTTTGAACATGTTTGACCAGATTGGACTATTAATAATTAGAAGACTTCTGAATTATTTTATTATGTTCTAATTCGAGCTTGACCTTGTTCTACCATGTTTGACTATGTTCATGGAGTTTGAACTTGTTTGACTCTGTTCAAATATGTTTGGCCAGGTTCGACTATCAACAATTAGAAGGCTTATTCGTGATTTATTTTGTTTAGGTTCCATCCTTATCTTCTATGATTGACATTACATCTCTCTTAACATGAAAATTACATTAAATAGTTCATTGGATAAATTTCATGTTGAAATGAAGTGTTTGCTAGGTGACCATCATGAACTGTTGAATGAGTTTAGATCAATTATCTTTGGCATGTACTTGGACATACAACATATTCATACATCAATCTTCATGTGCACTTTTTTGTGCTAGAATATCATATATTGAGAGAAGTTCTAACTTGTGGTTTGTGGTAAAGAGAGTTTGTATTTGTTACTCACTAACGGAGTCCGCTTTAAATAGTGGGCTTAATTGCACTTATCTAGACAAAGACTAGTTTGAGAAAGACTAGGAAGAGGATGGTTGAGCAAATTTTATTGATATTCACTGACCTTCTGTTCTTCGTGATGGAAATAAAGACAGAGTTAGTTATAACATGATTTTAGATCATTTTCACCAGCTTTCTAATTATTTAAACTGTCATGATAAAACTGAGAAAGATGGAGCACTTTCTGAAGTGATAATAAGGATGCCATTCCTTATGTTTATTGTGATGGTTCTTCTGGCCCTTGCCAAGAGAGATAATCTCATTCTTATGTATATACACACTCATGTAACTGTAATATTATTGCCTTTTCTCTCCAAGTTTGGAATATACATGTTGTTGATTTCACTATTGTGATATGATTATATGGGGTTTTGCAACTTTAAAAAAATGTAGGATGCTTGACCTTGCCAAACATAGTGACCATTGTGGTCGAACATGATTGGTTGACCATTGACAAACCTACCATGGCAAGCCTGGTCGGCCAAATTATTATATTATAGTAGTAGAACATATTCAAATTACATAATTTTTTTAGACTATAGACTGTGGAGAGTATTCTTCTTCAATTCCCGATTCCTTAGAGGCTCAGGCTGAATGGATCATGTCTTTGAAGCCAAAAGAGGGGGACTATCTTCTTCAATTCCCGATTCCCGATACAATACATACATACATGCGTACGTACGTACATACATACATACATACATACATACATACATACATACATACATACATACATACATACATACATACATACATACATACATACATACATACATACATACATACATGCATGCATGCATGCATGCATGCATGCATGCATGCA